CATTTACTAGTATCCCTTATGTGCCCAGAACTGTGCTAGTGCTTAGTAAATGTGATGTAATCTGTATGTTAGTTCCAGGAGTTTATTATATAATTATTCTCATTTTACTGGCATAAAGTGTGAAATTCAGAGAGGATTGGTAACCTGCACAAGGCCATACAGTAACAAGTGACAAGAGCTGTCTCAAATCTTTTGTATAAGGACAAAAAAATGAATGGATGAAAATGCAATTAAGAAGCAAACCCAGGATTCTAATCAGATCCATATGATTGCAAAGCCTACAGGCTGCCTCTCACACGGGACCTCTCAAACAGGATAACCTCATCAGGTGAGTACAAGTAACATCCTTGAACTGATAAACTTATGTCCAAGTCCTCTGGGATGAGAGATGCTCTCTAAGACACATCTGAATTCTGGTACTATATGTGATTCATTGCCTCTGTCATTCTCCAAAGAAGGCCTCTCTTTTTCTAGGGCCCACACACAAAGCACAGACATTGTCAGGTCTTGTACCCAGATCCCTCCTTCTATTTAGGGGCCTCCCACTGGAATGAGGCTCCACTACATCCACATGGCTTGGGGTATATCCTTCAATTTAGATCATTCCAAAAGCAAGTGGAAATAAACACTGAGTGACCTTGTGTCAGTTGCTGAACTTCTCTGAACATCAAGGGTCTTGGCACAGTGTTTGGGCATCATTTGCTGAAGGGATGGTTGAACGGTCTAAGAGGATGGATAGGTCACAAACCACAGCATCTGATATGGAGAAACAGCAGACATTTAGACAATTTATTTTTCTTGCCATTCCCATTATCATCAATCGGAAGGGTAAAGAAGCAGAGAAGGAAGGAGACTCCTTTTCTTGGGCTACATCTCAGGAAATGGGCTTTTATTGCTTATCTTCTTCATCTCCTTCCTCAGTTCAGTCCATCCATATCCCTAGAGGCACACTGCGATAAGCATTTCTGACAAAGTAAGAAGAGCTTATTCAAAGCTAAAGGCCTGAGGATTTGTGGGGGCATAGCCTATGCAGACAAGGCAAATAACTAGCAGTCCAAGGAATGGCTAGGAACCCCAGCTCTGTCTCAGACTTGTCTCAGAGATTTCCCAGGCCAGGTCTCTCCCAGGGTCCTGCCCTAGTTCCGGCTTTGTTCTGTGTTTCTGAAAGTAATTAAAAGAAAGAATCCAAGAGCCCAAGAGAACCATGGGGTTGGCAAGTCCAAACCCCTAGGAAGGGCATACACATTCAGGGTCTTTATTCATCAGTACTTGAGAGCCAAGAGTACATTCACCCAAAGACAAAAAATGTGAACTGCCTGGTCCACAAGCGGGATAAAAGCTGACTGCTATATTAATGACCATGGTGTTTGGAGGACTGTTGTACTGCCACCTTGTTTTTCATTTTTTGAGGGAGGTCTAGTCAAATGATCAGCAACTTCACAGGCTTCCAATTTCTGTCACATTCAGGATCTCTTATAAACCTGAAAACCAACTTCCTGGAGATATCAAGAGTAGCCTGTACCTTTTATAACTCTTGAGCTGTGCCAGCACCAAAGAACCAGGATAAAAAGGGTCTGGCCTCATGGAACTCAGCCACCACCCCGAAAGCCAGGAAAAGATAACTTTTTTTTTTTTTTTTTTAAAGATTCTACTTGATGGAAAGCAGAAGGAACAATACTATGGTAAGATCTGCAGTGAAAAAGTTCTCTCTACAAAAGAAGCCAAACTCCAAAGAGTATACTACATTAGATGATTTCATTTACAGAAAGTTCAAAATTGGGGCAGCCCGGGTGGCTCAGCGGTTTAGTGCAGCCTTCAGCCCAGGGTGTGATCCTGGAGACCCAGGAATAAGTCCCACGTCAGGCTCCCTGTATGGAGCCTGCTTCTCTCTCTGCCTATGTCTCTGCCTCTCTCTCTGTGTCTCTCATGAATAAATAAATAAAACCTGTAAAAAAAAAAATAGAAAGAAAGTTCAAAATTAGACAAAAGTCTCCCACAATGTTGAGAGTCAAGAGATGCTTGCCTCTGTGTAGGAAGTATGCAATCATAATTGCAAGAATCATGAAGGGGCTTTGGGAATACTTGATAACATTTTATTTTGATCTGTATGCTGGGTACATGAGTAGTGTTTATTTTGTGATAATTCAAGTTGTATACTTAATGATTTGTAGGATTTGACACACTTTATACATCAATAAAATGATGATTTAAATTACCCAAATCATTGCCTTTACAGACAAAAAGAGTTATGCTTATTGTTGGCTGCTTGCACAATCCCTACTATGTACACTGGGCCAGACAGTTTTAAAAAAGAGTAAGCCCATAAGCCTATTTTCTTACCGTCAAATGGTTTTCTCATGGTTTTCAAAATCAATCAAGTTTTTTTCAGGCTGGCTATCACTGAATGTCAGGGCCTAATCAAGCCTTTTCCTACACTTGGCCAATCTCTGGATGGGCCAAATTCTGCCTGTGGTTCCACAGGCAGATCAACCAAGTAATCCTCAGGCCTCCCTGGTCTGACACAGAAAGCAGAGACACAGAGCCCACAGGCTAAGTTAAGCAACTTTCTCCAGATTACACAATGAGCTGCTAGTGGGGGGCCTTGTGATTCCCATCCAAGGGCTATCACTTTTCTACTACAGCTCATTCCACAGGGGCCAATTAACACACACTCTCTTTTGGGAAACAGAAAAAAAAATGAGCTCAGGGAACTCACGGGTTGTTCTTTGTATGCAAGGCACACAAAGGGGTTTACCAAGTTCCTCTCCAAGAGGAAATCTGGAGAGCCAGGAAGAGGAGAAGTGCTGAGTCTGCAGCAGGGCATTGCAACCCAGCCCAGTGTTTTTGTGGAAACGATGTTCTCCTAATCAAAACACAGTTGCATAAATGGACTCACTCCATTTAAAAAAAAAAAAAAGAAGAAATTTAAAGTCTATAAATAGGAACCACACAACCCTGATTAATTTTAAAGTTCTTTCTCCACTGTCTTTTTTAGATAGTAGCTAAAAATAAAGGCTTGAAACTTGAAATAATGTAAGCAACTAATCACACACAAGCGCTGGGCTTTTCCCATATATGGCTGGGTTATTCTTCAGCCTTTGAAAAGACCAAATGAAGAGATGGCCAACAACCAAAATAATCCTTCAGACATTTGAAAACGAGGAGAAAGAGCTAGAAGAGTTGGTGAATGACAAACAATTGTGAGGCTCAATGGGGGTAAATGACACTGAGAGGGATTAGTTGCCATAGTACTTTAGAAACATGGGTACATGCATTTTGACACTGGACCCCTTCTATAAAGAGACTGTTTTGCCCTCTGGCCTCAGCACTAAGGAAACTACAGCTGTGGTGATTTAACATAAAGGACTTAAGGGGAGAAGTGCAGGGGCATGACTGAAAATCTAATTAAGGCCTTTCTCAGTATGAAATCTGTAAGGGCGATGAGGGCACAGCTCAAGGTCAGGAGAAAGGGGTAGAGACATGTGAAGAGGGGAAGTGAGTAGGGATTCAAATGAGCTTTGAGCATAAGTAGCAGAGGTCAGCTCTAGAGGACAGCTTTCTTGCCATGGAGAGGTATTATAGTGTCTGCTGGGTCCTGCCTGAAATGTTTTTAGAAAGATGAACATAGTCATGTCAGATAAATGCTACACAATGGCACACAGTCCGTGTGAGGCAGACTGGAAAGCCACACTTGCACTGTGTTTTATGGCTTACAAAACCTTATGGGAGGCATAATCCTGGATACAAGGTAAGACACCTGCTTTTACTGATATGGGAACTGAGGCTTTGGGAGGGTAAGTAACCTAACACATGGTATCTGACGGGTGACTTAGTGCAAGAGGGCTGGTGTAGTGACCAGAAGGTAACACTCCCAATGGGCAGGCCAGGGAAGTTTCACTCATAAAACCTCATGAAGAACACCAGTAGGAGTGTCAAGTTTAGGTTCATGTTTTGGCTCATCCACTACCTCTCTGTGACTGTGGGCAAATAATTTCCCCTCTTCTGATTCAAATCCTCAATTGGAAAATGATAGGGCTATCGTAGATGACAGGAGGCAGGAGGAGACAAATGTGGGCTGAATGCGCCACCCTACTCTCGCCCTCAGCTTCACGTGAGTCTGTCTGCATGACCCTCAGCCAGAACTATCAGGCACTGTCACTGCTTCATCCATGGAGACAGCCTTTCTCTTACACACTGAAATACACATATGGCACCTAGAGAAATGACTACCAAATGGTAAGATTGGAAAACGTCTTCATCCCTCCAAAAACATAGTAACAAAAACTAGTGACCGGGCAACATGAATTTGAAATTTTCATTCCACCACCTTTTGTCCCCCCTTCCCCGACCAACAGCTCATTGTGATGAATCTTCTTCATGATACTTCAGATTCTTTTTCTGAGAAGAAACCTACTTTTTGACACCTCTAATGGTTTTCCCATGCATACCCATAAGGCTTCTTATGTGGCTAGGGAATCAATAATAAACAACAGCAAAAATAGCAAGCACCCTTCACTGAGGGCCTATGGCACACCAGGCACCACTGCGGAGCCCTCTGCACACATCACCTCTCATCTCTGTAACTACCACATGAGGGTGGTATTATTGTCACATTGCATAGATGGAGAAACAGTGGCTCAGTTAAGTTTAGGGACTTGGCCAAAGAAGGCCATCTCAATAATTGCATGGCTGGGACTTAAACTGCCATCCAGTTGATTCCAGGGTCTGTTCTTGCTGCTGCTTCTCCATTATGGGACCTCTGGTCAATATGGTTAATGCATCCAAGACTCTGGGTGATGCTGCTTGCTCATGATTTCTCCTCATCACCATCCCTGCGGAATGGGATACTTTCCAGGTAGTCTGAAAGCACTCCCACAGAAACTCAAGGGCAGCTGGAGAATAAGGTGGGCTGAGTGGACAGTGAAGGGACCCTGAATGCATTCCCCCCTGTGCCACTGGCACCAGGTCCAGAATGATGACTTCATTTCCAAATCACTAACCTGGTGAGGCACAAGCCCAAGAGAGGTTGGCGGTTCATTCATGCGGTCATCACTGCTGCTGGCAATGGCATAGCCCCTGAGAAATGAAAACAATTAGAGGTGCTCATTTAATAAAAGTTTATGCTTGACATCTGTGAGGATGGTCTGGAGGGGGACCATGGGAGATTTATAAGGATAACTGAAAACACCCTTGCAAGGCAGCAAGATTTAGCGGAGACCTAATTTCCAAGGGAAGGAAAGAAGAAGAGTGCGCACACACATATGCACACGCGCGCGCGCGCGCGCACACACACACACACACACATCCCTGCGTCTTGGAGTTAGAAAAGCCAGAGCTTGTGACCACAGGCAGATTGCTTAACTTCTCTGTGCTCTGGGTCCATTACCTATAAAGTAAAAATAAGATAGTTATGAAGCATAAATTAGGAATAAGTTAGAAAAACTGCCAAGTGCAGTGGCTGGCACGTGATAAGCTGATTAATGTTAACTCCCTTACTCTGAGATAGTCTTGTAAAAACCATGGCACATTTTTGTACAGAAATTTTGAAATGGAAAACTTTCCAACCATAACTTCTTGAGGTGATATGAATGCTATGAAAATGGAAGAAGGAGACAGAAACAGTAAGGAATTAATGGGGCAGGAGAACAAATGCACTCCTTCCTGAATGATAGTGTGATGTTTTCTTACGGCACAGAAGGGCCTGGTTTTAGCCTATGACCAGGGCGAACACACAGAGGGGTCAGTGTCAAGGAATGGCACAATCGGCTCTCCAAGATTTTATCCCAGATATGTCCTGTCAGGAGGCCACACTACACTTAGAAGGCAGGGGTAGTCAGGGGGATGACAGAGACGAGAGGAAGTTAAAAAAAAAAAAAAAGCTGCTTTATTTTCCTTTAACTCTCTTGCACCTAGACTAGCTATGTATGCTACCAACATTGTACAGGGGTCATCTTTTCAATTGTGTAGAAAAACTGTTGAGTCATAAAGTAAATAGAATATTTGATGTTAATTTCTGAGAATTGGAAAAACAAATCTTTCAAAAATTCAAGTCTCTCCTGCCTGTGTTACAAACAGCATAGCAGGATGATTAAAAACAGAGTTTGGAGCCAAACTGAGTGAAAGCCCAGCTTTGTGAATTCCAGCAACTTATCTTCCCTATGCCTCAATTTCCCCCTCAAAAATGGGACAGGTAATAGTTCTTTCCTAATAGGTTTGCTATGAGGATTAAGTGAGTTACTTCTGCAAAATGATTAGAACAGTGCCTAGCACAAGGTAAGCACTATGTAATAAGTGTCTGACAAATGAAATAAATCACAGTGTATTTGTCAGATAGTCAGGTGTAAATACCCATTTGACTTCAGTTTGCCTACACTAGCTGACACTTGGCAGCAGACACTTGGGCAGATATGGAGAGAATCTTAAACTGTTTAATCATTTTTCTTTTACTTTTTTATTTTTTGTTTCCTTTCCTCTTCATTCCCCCACCCCTTTCTCATCTCTTCTTTTCTTTCCTTCTTTCTTTCTTAAAATTACTGGTTCTATTTTTGAAATCAACTTAATTTTATCCCACTTCTACTTATTACAAGATGAATTAGTTCTATTGTTTATAGGTCATAAAGTAATAAGATCTTCTTGAGTAGAGCATCTGGGTGTCCAGATCACAAATGTGGTAAGTTTTATATCTTTAATGTAAAATATCTATAGTATGGTAAATATATAGTCTGCTATAAAGCCAAAGTCAGGTTGAAACAAAATGTACCAGCCTGCTCACTTGTCTACTCTCACATGCAAGCTAGTACACAATGAGTGCTTAATAAATTAAAAAAATATATTTTTAAAAATTGGTATGGCATTGATAGACTAGGTAGTCATGACCAACCTTTCACTGAAAACAAACAGAAAGCTAGATACAATATTAAAACCTTTGAAAGCCTGACAGCTACCAAAGTAGGGAAGAATTGCAGAGCTAGGATCTGTGAGAGGAGAGAAGCCGCCCATAGAGGTAAACAAGGCATTTGCAAGGGAACTTTCTGCCATAAAGTGATTGCCAACCTCCAAAAGCACTGGCTATAGGATCAGAAGCTGGACAGACAAATGAACTGGAAGGAAAAACTAGAGCTTGAGGTCTGTCAATAAGGAGGAATCATGGAAATTATCCTGGGCTTTGGGTTGGGACCAATGGGGGTTACATGCTAGGAAAAAGAGTGAACCAGAAATAGACAAACCCTAATTGGACTTAAGCATTCTAGGACTTGGTCTAGCAGTTTGCCAGAAGGAAATATAAATCACATCATCTCTGCAATTTCTCATATACAATGTCCAGTAGTCAAAATTAGCCAAGCAAGAAAAAAAATAATAATAACCAAGCAGATTTGAGAAACTAGGGAATTTTTTTAATTTAAATTCAATTTGCCAACATATAGTATAACACCCAGTGCTCATCCCATCAAGTGCTCTCCTTAGTGCCTGTCACCCAGTTACCCCATCCCCACACCCACATCCCCTTCCACAACCCTTCACTTGAGTTAGGGGTCTCACATGGTTTATCTCCCTCTCTAATTTTTCCCACTCAGTTCCCCTCCTTTTGAGAAACAAACTGGGGAAATTTAAAAGCTAATTTTATATGAGGTGATATGAAGGAATTACTTTTGTTTGGTTTTATATGTAAAATAGATATACGCACTAAAAAGATACCTTTTATTAATGAAATGCGACATCTTAGATTTGCTTTAAAATAAGCTAGTGGGGAGAGAAAAATGTGGATATCTGTATAGACAAATGATGGGCCATATGTTGCTAACTGTTGAAGCTAGGTGGTCTATACGATGGGATTTATTATTTTATATATGTTTTTCTTTCATAGATATTGGAATTTTCCATAATAAAAAAGGTTTTCTCTAAAAAAAAAAAAAGGAAACAGTACCAGATACTGGAGGAGGTAATACATAACCAAAAGCCAAAAACCAAAAAAATAATAGACAAGAGGAACAGACTCATAGGAGAGCCAGATAATAGAGTTACCTGATAAGGGCTTAAAAGAAAATAATAATTACGTGTTTTCAAGGAATGAAAAAGATCAAAATCACAATTTCAGCAGAGATCAGGAAATGTATAATGTATAAGATCAAATGGAAATTTTATAACTGAAACATAAAATAATTAAAAACTCAATGGATGGTACTAGACACAGAAGGAAAAAGAATTAGCAAACTGGAAGATAAGCCAAAAAGCAAACTGGCAAACTGAAGCAAGGAAAGACAAATACTGGAATATACAGAAAAGGGCATAGATTGATTCTGACATGCAATTAGAGACTCAAAAGGAAAGAAGACAGAAAGGGGCAGAAGCCATATTTTAAGAGATACTGGCTGAGAATTGTACACAATAGATGAAAAGTATCAAGCCATGGATTCAAGAAGCACTAGAGAGCACAACCAGAATAAATACATAAGTAGGTATACCATAGTCCAACTTCTGAAAAGCAAAGGCAATGAGAAAACCTTAAAACCAACTAAGGGCAGGGAAAGAGAGAGAAAAACAAACTATATCAGAGGAGCCTCTGTGAGATAAACACCAAACTCCTCAACAACAATAAAAGCAACCAGAGACAACAAGATTATACTCTCAATGTGCTAAAAGAAAATTATCACCAATCTACAATTCTAAACCCAGCAAAAATATCTTCCAAATATAAAGTCATTTTTAGGCAAACAAAAACTGAAGTATCTTGTCACTAGCATTCCTTTTAGGGATGCTGAACAAAAACTGAAGTATCTTGTCACTAGCATTCCTTTTAGGGATGCTGAAATGATAAAGGGCATTCTTCTGGCAGAAGGATAATACAGCCTTGGCTGGAAGCTCAAAGATAGATAGAAGAGGAAAATGAAAAGTAACAGAAAAGGAAAACGTTAGCCAAACATAATTAATACCACCATAAAACAATCTCTTCTGGAATTTAAAATATATGCATAATTTTAAAAAATGAGTGTGCAGACAGTGCTATTTGCCTACCCAATATCCATTCTCCACATCTATCTTAAGACAACTTTATTTAGAGAGGTAATGTGTCCAGACAAAATAACCATATCTGTCAGTCTTCCTTGTAGTGAAGGGTGGCCATGTGATACAGGAGTTAGAATCACTGGGTGTTATTCTGTATGTTGGCAAATTGAACACCAATAAAAAATAAATTTATTATTAAAAAAAAAAAGAATCAATGGGTGAATCGGGTAAGTTCTTTAAAAGGGGGCAGCCTCAGCCAAGGGGACATATGTTAACTTTAACACAGAAGCAATACGTAGTCACGACCACAAGGTGGCAGGCAAAAGGAAAAATGCTAAGGGTACCTGAGTGATTAAGAAGGAACTGGAGTCCCTGAGGGCCTAACAAAGCCTTTGTACCAACTCTGAACTGCCTGCCTCCAGGCTTTTGCCGCATAAACAAAATAAAGTCCCATTTGGCCAAGTCACTGAAGATGTTACATACAGCCCAAAGCATTTCTATCACATGTGATTCATGTATTGCCTTACAAACGTTCAGGGCTAAGGAGATCAAAACCTACATGAGGGTCCGTACAGCCCCCACCAAAATGTTTATTCTTCCTTATCATCAGTTACCAGATAACTCAGAAGAGTTCAATTCCAGAAGAATCCAGAGATAGAGCCCCAAAGGTCCAATGACAAGCTCCCCAAGGAAAAAGAATCAGACTAGGGTTTTCAGTCTTGTTTTTTCGAGGACAGCTTTAAAAAGCAACACAATTCTCAGAGAAGTCAGGATGAGAAAAGCCCAATGGAGATACAAAAAGCTTTTTGTTTAAATGACCATCTCTAAATAGTAAGCTCACCCTTCTGGATGCTGCAAAACAGAAACCATCAATTCCACAGCCAGGGCTCCTGCAATCATGGCCAGTCCTGGGCGGCTCACAGTGCACTGCTGGTCCAAGGTCCGGTCTCTGGTTGACTAGAGAGAAACAATCATTGATGTGTGCTTCAAAGTTCTAGTCCACTCAACTGTGCTGTCTGAAGCATGAACCTCCTCCCTGGTAAAGCTATATAACATAACCAGATGCTCACTCAGTGTGGACAAAGAACATTCAGCCTCAAATAATACTGCTTCTTGCAAGTACCAAGAAAAAAACAAAATATACAACTTAGGTAACTAAATGAGGTACTTTGCCAAAAAGGAGTAACAGTTACAAACTAATTAAAGATTGGGGGCCTAGCTGCCCCAATAGGGAGTTGCATCATATGCTCTTTTAACTGACTCAAACCCCACTGCACTTGGTAGCTGAAGGACAGAGACACAGAGAGGAATAATCACTTGAATAGTACAAATGATTTTGCCCTGTCATTCTAACTGAGCCAGTGCCTCAGACTGCCTGTGAGGTGGGACAATAACTTGCCTTTCCTGCAGTCCTCAGTTCCCACGTGCCTCTCACAGTGTGGACATCATGTCACCCACCCATCAAGTCACCCATCATTTCACCCTGGGCTGAAATGCAAGTATTTTTGCTACAACATGGCTCCAAATACAACCCTTCAATAGTGCAACCAAAGAAATTCTAATCTTACAACTTTAGGCAAATTAAGAGGTTGTTAGGGATAATTTTGACTCTGAAATTTTCCCCTTATGAACAGACACGACTTTACTGCAATTGATTCCTTTATCCTACTTGTTGGTAATGATGCGATAACAGGGCCAGCTATGTGTTACAACACCACTGATGAAGATCCTCAAGTCATCCTTCTTCACATGGAGAATATTTATCTTTTATTTCTTCATACTGGGAGGCCATAGAAGCCAATCTTCCAAAAAAGGCAGGAGTTATTAAGGAATACATTTTTAAAGAAGGGGAAAATGAAGGGAAGGGCACAGAAACACTTATGCTTTATTTCACTGGACATGATTCTCTGTTCTGATAAAAGACCATTCCTACAGACTGGGCCTTGTGTGCTGGCATTAATACTACAGAATCTTATATTTGAACAGGGTACTACTTGCTGTTGAGAGCACTTTCATATTCAACCCACCTTGCACTATGAATAGTCAGGTTAAAATATTTTTCCCTCTTCTACTGGGTTAGCAGATAAAATACAGGATGCCCAGATAAATTAGAACTTCAGATAGACAATGCATAGTATTTTAATACAAGAAGGTCTTGAATATTGCATGGCAAAAATTAATACTAAAATGTTATTTACCTGAAATTCAAAGTTAACTGGGAATCCTATTTTCATTTGCTAAATCTGACAATCTTATAGGGCCGGGCCCCTTCTGCAGAAACACAGGCAGCCTATGAGCCTTATTTGGAATTATCCTGCAAGGCAGTGTCCAAGCCTGGATTGGAATCCAGGTCTTCAGACACCTCATTTAATGTTCTCTTCAATGATATATGCACAGGAGACAGAGCTGACTGCTGCCAGGGACCAGTCTATCCTCCAGTTTCCTTGCTGAGCTTTCCACAAAAATGGTTGCTCACTGTGTTTATGCTAGTGAACAAGGAACAGCTATGCACAGTTGATGACACCAATCAAGGCTTGTAGTGTGATAGCATCACCCCCAAATTGGAGACTTCTTCTCTTTGTTAAAAGACAAAATTTAGGGACGCCTGGGTGGCTCAGCGGTTGAACACCTGCCCCTGGCTCAGGGCATGATCCGCGGTCTCAGGATCCAGTCCCACATCAGGCTCCCTGCCTAGAGCCTGTTTCTCCCTCTGCCTATGTCTGTGCCTTTCTCTCTGTGTGTCTTTCATAAGTAAATAAATAAATTTTTTTTTTTTAAAGAAAAGACAAAATTTAAATAGTCACAAGAGAAAGAGCTGGGCCATTTTGCCCCAGTGGGCAAGACAGTTGTAGGAAATATCTAGAAGCACAAAGAAATCCACTTACATCTCCCGGGGCCACCACATCATTGCAGAAATAGCAGCCAAGTTTGTAGCCAGGGATGTTGGCAAAGAGGGATGAGCCCAGGAGGTCTGCAGGTGCCACAAGGTGACCAGAACACAAGTCCCCAGCTCCCTGCTGCTTAGGTTTCTTCAAGCCATGTCTCATGACAACAAATGTGTCAAACCCCAAGGCAGCATTGATGACCAGCTGTGGGTTTTGAGGAATAAAAGTCTACAGTTAAGAGACACTTACATTTTAAACCATGGCTAATTTCATATTTGGTCAACTTTTAAAATTCATTTTGTAAGTATTTGCATATGAATGTAATTAGTGTCTAGAAGCCAACGTTAGTAAAAACAACCCAATTTTGAGGATTTATTAAGTGCAAAACACTTGACCAGTGATTAACATTAATTATTTTATTTTGCTTCATTTAAAATTCCCAGCACACATTTCCCATTTACAGATGAGGATAATGAAAGTCAGAGTAGTTATTTCTGTAACTTGCCCAAGGTCACTTAGCTGGTAAGAGGTAAATGCATAAAACCAAGTCTTGAGAGTCCTCAGCTTTATTCTTTCTACCATTACACTATCATCTGACATACCTACACACATTTTTTTTAACAATAGATTCGCTGAGATATAATTCACACACTATACAATTCAACTTTCACACAGATTTTTTAAGGACAATTTGTTTCTCATTTATACTAGAACTTCTCTTAGTTATAACTTATTCCTCTCATATTTCTGGTTATATAGGTTGGGAAAAAAAGGAAAAAGGACATCAGAAAACAAAAATTACAATCTCACGGCTCAAACACATACAACTAATAATTTGGGGTATTTCTTCCTACTGTGTTCTCTCTCTCTTTCCTTCCACCACCTTTCTCCCTTCTTTTCTCTCCTTCATCCCTCACCAGATAGAAATGTTTATTTGTTTACAGCTATAAACAGTTCATATTAAATATATACAATACTGTATCCTGTAATGTGGTATTTTCCATGTTATTAAAGTTTTTGAGAACATAATTGTGCACAGCTGCATAGTATTCCATCACATTTATGTACCATGATTTAATTAACCATTCACTACTGTCGGTCCTTGAAGTTGTCAGTGACCAAATAGTAGTAAATGAGATGGTCTTTTCTGCTTGGAACTTACATTTTAATCTAAGTAGAATATCCCTTCCAGAGTACTTCAAAGGGTTGCTATGAAAATTAAATAGTAGGAGAAACCTATTATATTAGATGGTGGTATGTGAGGCAAAGATAGCATCTGCCAGTGGAAGCCTTTTGGCACCATGTCACTAGGTTATATACAGCACATCTCTCTTCTGGAGGGAAGGCAAATCTTCCTTCAGGGTGATGGTACATTAAGTCACACTCAGACTTGAAAGTCCCAGGAACCACACACTCTACCTTTCTCTTGCTCGCAGCAATGACGGCAGGGAGCCACCGGCTCTCCCTGGTGTCCATCAACAGAAAAATGACATCATGGCTTTCAATGAGCTGCTCTAGTTGTTCCACATCCCTGCGGGCTTGGTCCAGGGTGACGCTTGAAAAGTTCACTGGGTGTCCAGGCATGGGGATGCTCATGTTGAACCCTCTGGCATTCTGGGGAAACACCCAGATATATAGATGTCTGAAGCAAATATATAGGTGATATCTTAGAGCCCATATCTCCCCATAGCTACAAGCATGCATGTGTATGCAACCAGAAATTTCTCTATGTGTGATTTTGCTACCCATACCCTGTACCTTCTTCACCTCTACATCCTAGACTATCTTTTCCTGTCATCCCAGGGTCCCTAAGCCTGGATAAAGTAGCAAGCAAAGACATATGGATCCTAGTTCCAAAGAAGGAGGGAAGTACTTCCCATTTGAGGCAAGGAGGACACTGGAAAAAACCGTACTCTTGGCTTTCTCCTATAACCTGAGAGAAGAACCTCTATCAAAGTGCCCTCTGGCCAACTGCCTCTCCCTACTTGCTCCCAATTGTCCCCACCCCCGCCATTTCCTTAATATATAACTTCTTCAAATAGGATATTATAACAAAAAACATTTGATTTAATAAACTCACATAAGATTAGAATGACTGATAGTCTTGTCTTAATCTTAGAGGTATATGAACTTAAAAAAAAAAAAAAAACCTCTAAACTGAAAAACTCCACTTGCTAACTTATGACCAGAAAATCTACTTAGGAGTGTGCAGATATTTGTTTGGAGGGGACAGGGCGGTGCGGGGTTGGGGGGTGAGCTATAGCAGAGTGGGGTACTGAAGTGAAGCTTCATTCCCTGTCCAAAGAAGTTGCCTGGTGGCCCAGATTCTCTGCAAGTGTGGTGACTCAGGAGTTTTCATAGGGGCTTTAGAACAGCTCTGTAAGACTGATCCCCCGCTGGCCCCACAGTTCTTGGCAGATTAACAGTGAGTCACATAGGGGTGTCAGCGAAGCCAGGGACATTAACTGTCCACAGAAAAGAAAGTGTTCTAGAATCACAAACTGCATCCTTAATCCTCTGCATAGTGCTGGCCACAAAGAGGAGTGTGAAAACATTAGCTTTGTCATTCATTTGCCAAAACCTGTCACTTACCTGAAAAACAACTGGTGGGGGGCAGGGGAGAGGACCAGAATAAATAGGTCCTTTCACAAAGGAAAAATCTATTTTGTGGATTGTGGCTATTCTCTCCTTATCTTAAACTTTAAACCTAATCTCTGGAATTCAAGAAAGGGACAATGGTAGCAAAAGCAATGCTATTTAAAACCATAAAAAAAAAAAAGTTACAGGAAAACACACCAGACAGAAAGGACTTCAGAAAGAGGGTTCAAAACAAGTCCATTTTAACAATGAGAACACCACAGAGACAACTATCTGGCCCTCATTAATTAATTCACTCATTAAGATGTACCATGTACCAAATAGTGTCATAAACTTTAAGCAAAGATCACAGTAATGTTAATACCTTATTGTCTTATTACAATTGACAAAGTATCTTAAATGGTGGTGGCTTAATCCAGAAAGGTATTTTTGGTATATTAGTGACACCAAAATCAAGCATAATTACTCAACACCAATTCTGACCTTTTCAATAATACAGATCCATACTCACTTCACTGACCTAAATGATTCTCTACTTGCTAAAATTTCAGCCAGTAAGCCTACTTAGGACTGGCTCTCAGCCCACCATTTAGGTCCACATGCCTAAGGCCAGAATTCAGCAAGTTTCAACACAGAGGTTTTCAACCTTGGCTGCATATTAGAACCACCCAGAGAGGTTTAAAATTCCTAATGGCTAGACTTTTCCTCGGACTATTTAAATTGGAATTTCTGAGAGTGGGACTTGCCATTAATATTTCCTAAAACTCCCCAGATGATTCAAATGTGTAGCCAGGGTGAAGCATAATTTACAGAAACTGTAATATACAGATTTCAAGTATACAGCTGGCTGTGTTTCAACAAACTGCAGATTAACCACTGCATATACCTATTAAGACATAGGATATTTGCATGACCCCAGAACGTGCTCGTGTACCCCTTACTCCCCACCCCCACTGGGACAACCACTGTTGCAATCACTTTTTTTTTTGCAATCACTTTTTAAATCCTAGATTAGTTTTCCCTCTTCTAGAACCTCATATAAATGGTATCTACAGTATATATCTGTTGGTGTTTGGCTTCTTTAACCCTGCATAATGTTTTTTAGGTCTATCCAAATTGTTAAGTATCAAGAGTATGTTCCCTTTTTGCTGTGTGAATATACCTCCATTTGTTTATTCAATGTCTCATGGACAGATATTTGGGTTATTTCTAAATTGGGGCTATTATGAATAAAATTGTTATGGACATTCTTTTGTAAGTGTTTTAGGGTATATACGTTTTCATTTCCTTCAGGTAAACATCTATGAATGGGGATTTCTGGGTCATCAGGTAGGAGCAGTTTCATGAAAACCTGCCAGACTAATTTACAAAGTGGTTATTTTAGCAGCATACCAAGAGCTCTGGTTGCTCCTCAGCCTGACAACAGTTAGCCCTGTCAGTCTTCTTAATTTGAGCCACTTTAGTGGGTATGTAGTGATGTATTTTCATGGTTTTAATTCCTCTTTCCCTGAGACCATGGATGTTGAGCATTTTTGTGTGTGCATTGGCCATTTATAGATCTTCAATATGAAATAAATGCCTGCACAGAAGTCTCTGGCACCTTAAAAAAAAACTCAACAAACTAACAAACCCTTGTCTGTCCTTTTATTATTGAGTGATAGGAGTTGTGTTTATGGATTCTGGGTAATAGCTATTTGCCAAATAGACATACTGTGAGTATTTTCTGGGTTTTGACTAGTCTTTTCATTCTCTTAATGGCATCAATTGGGAAGCAGAAGTTTTAGGTTTTGATGAAGTCCAAAGTTATCCATTTTTACACATACGGGTCAGTGTTTCCTGGGTCTTAGGAAATCTCGCCTATCACAAGCATACTGTGCTGCTTTCTCCTGGGAGCTCTATATTTTAGCTTTTATGCCGAGTTCTGACATTACTAGAGTGTCACCTAAAGGCTCAAGGTGTTCAGTGAAGACATTCCATTCTGGAAAGGTGGGATTCCAATGTCTCCTGGACTTGGAGAAGCTCTGGAATCTCTAATCGGTTCACAGCAGACAATGGTGCATTTTTACCCAGCCTTACAAAGTCATGCCCTGAGCACGCACAGCTTGATCTGGTCAAAGACTAAGGTGCTGCCCACACTCCTCCTCTGCTCAGTTCCCACATGTCTGATACTCTGTCCTGCAAGTTCCAGCTCCCTTAGCTGCTCTGAGATTGGATGTCGGTTTCCTCAGCTCATCAAGCCCAAGAACATCTCCTTTCCTCATGGGCTCGGGAATGGGCCAGAGAGTGCCTCCATGTGATGAGCTAGGACAAACATTCTTGCTTTTCTTTCTGTCTATTGTTCATTGTCCAGAGAGAGTCATTTTTTATATTTTGCCCAGTTGCATAATTGTTTATGGCAGGAGAGCTGGTCCAATACCAGTTACTCATCAGGGTTGATAACAGACATTCAGAGTTGGGTTTGAAAATCTATCTATCTATCTATCTATCTATCTATCTATCTATCTATCTATCATCTTATTATTGGTGTTCAATTTGCCAATATATAGAATAACACCCAGTGCTCATCCCATCAAGTGCCCCCCTCAGTGCCCGTCACCCAGTCACCCCCACCCCCCACCCACCTCCCTTTCTACCACCCCTTGTTTCCCAGAGTTAGGAGTCTCTCATGTTCTGTCTCCCGGGTTTGAAAATCTCTAGTGCAATTCCACAATCCTACATTTTATTGTCTTGTCTTAAAAAAAAAAAAAAAGTAACTCCAAATAGTTTGATTTATTAATGGTCAGGTTTTTTCCTATTGAATTAATTCAACCCCAAGATTAGACAGGTATTTGCAGCAGAGCAGTTCTTCCAATATCTTGTTCACTTAGGACATGTCTGCAGCCTGACATGAGAAAGGTTATGAGCGAGTATCTGTTGAAAGAAATAAACACCACCAAACTGAACATACAAAGAAAGCACCATAAGCCTGAGTAACCGGTAGGTGAGATTATGATGGATTACACCAGGACCTTAATGGATTCTACACATTATCTATTATTGTTTATAAGGCAGGAAGGGTAAAAGTATGAGACCTGGCTCCTGGCCTCAAGGACTGAATAACCCAGTAGGGAAAGCAGAATAGCACAATTTAAGTGTCAAGGAGGACACTCAACGCTGGTGGGCTGGTGGTTTCAAGAAAAAGTAAACTTGATCTCAAAAGGTTCCGTGTGAGTCAGCCCTAGCTTTGGCTTTAGCTTCTGCCCTAGCCCCTTCTCTGTCTTCCTTGACCTTCATGCTTCAGCCTCCCTAGTTTTCCTTCAGCTCCACAGAAGTGCTATGCCACCTCCTGCCTCCAGCATTTGCACAGACAGCTCTGCTGTCCTCATCTAGCTGACCCCTACTCATCCTGCAGGACTTTGGCTCCTCAAGGGCATCTTGAGCTTAGGTCAGGCTGCCTGGTAAACGTCCCTATAGCATCTGAGCTCCTACTTCATGCACTTATTATAATTACAACTGTTTATGAAATTTGTTTTTTTTTTTGTAAGATTTATTTATTAATTCATGAGAGACACAGACTGAGAGAGAGAGAGGCAGAGACACAGGCAGAGGGAGAAGCAGACTCCTCGCAGGGAGCCTGATGCGGGACTCAATCCCGGATCCTGGTATCATGACCTGAGCCAAAGGCAGGCGCCCAACCGCTGAGCCACCCAGGCATCCCTGAAATTAGTTTTTGACCATGTCCCCCTCTGGACTACAGAAACTCCATGCAGAGAAGAGGGAACTTTATCTGTTTTGTTACCCAATCCCTAGCACACAGAAAACCTTAAGTATTTAATGAATAAGTAAAAGAATAACTGAACAGATAAATAGGGAGGACTGCACTGGATCATAGACTATCTGGACAAGGAAAAATTTCAGGCAACTAGTTAAGTAGCAGAGGTGAGATTCAAAGTCAGGTCTCTCTGGGCCCTGAGGCTCATAAGACTCTCCAGTGATAGGTTGGATTATTCTTCCCAACCATGCACTGCCTCTCACTAATGTTTTCACTCTTAGCCACATGACTTTGCATGACCTCCCACTAGGAAGGCAAAGTATACCCCTGGACTTTGGGCTTGGCCCTGTGACCGGCTTTGGCATGGGGATGGAGAATGCTGCATTGTGTCACCAGTGAACTGAGACTTTTAGAGGTATAATACGTTTTCACCAATCCTTTTTCATTTCCACCTTCTATTGTAAGAAGAGCATTACCCAAATGACTGCTGCTCCTCAAGCCTAGATTTTATTTCTTTTTTTTTTAATTTTTTTTTAATTTTTATTTATTTATGATAGTCACAGAGAGAGAGAGAGAGAGAGAGAGAGAGAGAGAGAGGCAGAGACACAGGCAGAGGGAGAAGCAGGCTCCATGCACCGGGAGCCCGACGTGGGATTCGATCCCGGGTCTCCAGGATCGCGCCCTGGGCCAAAGGCAGGCGCTAAACCCCTGCGCCACCCAGGGATCCCCCTCAAGCCTAGATTTTAAAACTATAACACATAGCACAGACTGGAACCTGACTTAAAGACTGGAGTCCAGCTATAGCCACTCTGCAGACCTGTGAGTATGAGATAAATGCTTATAATAATAAAGCACTCTCATGTTAGGACTGTGTGATATAGTCCTATATCACTGCTGCAATAATGTAGCAGTGATATAGCACTGTAGCACTGCTGCAATAATGTATAGCAGCAACTTAATTAATATGATAGGGTTCTAGCACTCTTATTTCTTTTGGCCTCCAGCACCTAGCTGGGGACACAGTGGGTGCCTAAATAATGGTGTTGAATTAAACCCAATAAATGATGTTCCTCTGGATCAATGATGAAATGGACAAAACCATCAAGTTGCTTCTTTTAAAGCAAAAATTAAAATGAATGAATCTAATACTGAGTAATTAAACAGAAAAACCTTGAGAAAGTGGTCTTTTTTCAAAAATTTTGTTGTTGTTGTTGTTGGTAAGGCTGAGAGCCTCTTGTGCACACTTTAAGTATTAGCAGATGCTTTGGAGACATCTAACCTAACTTTTGTCATATAAACTGATTAAGTATGCAAGATGCACATTTCCTTTTGTGGATGACCTATAAAAAAACTGGTGAGATTTTGAATTGAATGAGCTGAATGGCTTGTCTCTTATTATTTGGTGTTTTTAAAGTAAATAATGCAACTCAAAAACAACCAGCAGCTTGAGTAAAAAGCTAAATATTTAGCCAGATCTTCATTCTGTGCAGACTTGCATTCAATTTAATTTCATAAAACTGCACTAAGTAACTATCAAGTATTCTGGTGATGAAGGAGAAATAAAATCCTGTACCTGAGCTACCAAGAATCCCTTTGGAATAAGGCAGTATATAAAAATATCATACTCCTAAATTCTTCAAATGAGACTCCGATAATGCTCTGCAACTTACAAAAGCATTTTTTTCATACATTCTTCATTTTATTTTCACAATATATGAGAGTTTTGTTTTTTAATGCCCATCTCTGAGATGAGGAAACAGAGGCCTGGCCATATAATGAAGGCCTGGGTAGTAAGTGACAAATGTCTGACTCTCTTTTACCAATACCACAGGACCTTCATTGCCCAAATTAATCAGTAGGAAACTACAGGAGACAAGCTCTGACGTTCCCAAACAACATCAACATACCACTCCAGGGAATATTTTCTGAAGCCGGTCTGCTGCAGCCAGGGCCTTGGGTTTACCACCTGCTAGGCAATCTTCAAATTCATAGAGAGGCTGCCTCACAGGATTAGAGTAGGAGATATTGGCGTTGTCCACAAATGTGATGTGTCTGACACCCCAACCCTGCATGGAAACAAGAGATCATGGTGTGTTTCTGACAAACATGTCACAGGGTGTCTCTCTTGAAATCCCTAAAAGAGGTTTTGCTTTGGAGTAGCTTAGGAACTTCAAAATACAGGAAACTTCAGAAAATGAATTGTGCAAATTCAGTTTTTGATCAACAGAGGGTCAACTTCCTTTAAAAGACAAAATAATTATATACCCGGTGCCTGGTTTCCTGCAGTAATGAGACTAAGAAATGTCAGAGTGGGTCTGACTAATAACTCATTATTTTTGACAGTAACACCAGAGAAAAATTTGGAGGTAAGTCCCATAGGAATTGTCTAAGCTGTTGTCTTAAAAGGATTAGCAATGAGCCCCCAAATGTCCTTGCTTTTCCTTAATGAATAATTAAGTATAAATAACAGCTCACTTAAAACTCACTTAAAGCCTGAATTAACTCCTCAGAAAAATGACTTGAGTTATTTCCCATTGTATAATGTCATAGAAGATTTTGGCTACAAAGCTGATTCTGCTCTCTCTTATTTCAAAATCCTTCCATCAGAGACTCAGAAACTCAGTTAAATTGATGTTTCCAAGGGGATGGTCAACAAGAATCCAAGGTACATTTTCAGGGTTGAGGACAGGCCAGAATCTATCTTTTCAAAAGCACAGTTATCTGTGTTGAAAGCCCACTGGTAAACTTGGTCTACTCATCCAGTTTTTTTTTTAAATTTATTTATTAATGAGACACAGAGAGAGAGATGAAGGCAGAGACACAGGCAGGACAGGCTCCATGCAGGGAGCCTGATGTGGGACTCGATCCTGGGTCTCCAAGATCACACCCTGGGTTGAAGGTAGCACTAAACCACTGAGCCACCAGGGCTGCCCATATTCATCCAGTTTTATAAGTGACTTTTACCAGCAAAGCAATCTACCGTGGAGGCAGAATAAAGATATGGAAAATCCCTCTCTCTGTGTGTCTCTCATGAATAAATAAAGAAAATCTTAAAAAAAAAAAAAAAGACACAGAAAATCCAAAAGTCACTTGTGCTTGGTTTGGACACATTTATTTCTTTTTTATTTTTTTAAGATTTTCTTTATTTATTCATGAAAGACACACACACACACACACACACACAGAGAGAGAGAGAGAGAGAGAGAGAGAGAGAGAGGGAGGGAGAGGCAGAGACGCAGGCAGAGGGTGAAGAGGCTCCATGCAGGGAGCCTGATGGGGGACTCCATCCTGGGTCTCCAGGATCACACCCTGGGCTGAAGGTGGCACTAAACCACTGAGCCACCCAAGGATCCCTGACACATTTATTTCTGAAGTATTTTTACATCCCTTAAAGCAATGCTGAGTGGAAGGCAGTCTAGGAAGATGCTGGGCAATGGAAAAAAAGCCAAGTAAATTACAAACAGGCCACAAGGTTAGCCACATCCAGGGGGGCATTTGCACTCAACTTTTGGCTTCCTGGAATGCTACACAGTTTAAATGGCTAAGATTAAAGAAAACTGTAATATTCAATGCTGGTGAGGATGTGGTGATGAAAAGCTATTGTACTGGATGAGAATGTAAACTGTTATAATTTTTCTGGAAAGCAATTTGGCAATATGTTTCTAGAATCTTTCAAATGTTCATATCTTTTGGCCTATTTGCAGCAATCTAACCTCAGTAAATACTTCCAGCAATCTACCCTAGGAAGCAATTTGAAATATTAACAAAAATGTTCCACAACATAATTTGCAGTTGTAAAATACTGGAAACAATGTTAATGCCTACCATAAGGGGAATATCTTAGAACATTACATTTCATCATATAAGAAAGCATATTATAGGGGATCCCTGAGTGGCTCAGCGGTGTAGCACCTGCCTTCGGCCCAGGGCATGATCCTGGAGTCCCTGGATCAAGTTCCATATTAGGCTCTCTGCATGGAGCCTGCTTCTCCCTCTGCCTATGTCTCTGCCTCTCTCTCTCTCTGTGTCTCTCATGAATAAATAAATATTTTTTTTTAAAAAAAGCATATTCTATAGACATTAAAAACGTTTTACAGGCATTATTTTTAATTACATGAGAAAGTGTTTACAATGTTAATAAATAAAAGTGAGGGGCATTATATAAATCAAATAAGATTTTTAAATATATATTTAACAAACATTAAAGGAAATAAGTGAAAAAGTGGTAAGAAAATGGGTGTCTCCTTTTCTGCTTTATAACTTTTACACTTTACAAATTTTCTATGGTAGATTTCCAATGACTTTACAATTCTCAATAATGCTAAGAAAACCTTAACACCTAATTCTGGAAGCCAGATAAAGAACAACAAAATAAATTTCACAAAAAGAGGAAGATATTAATGAAGATAAAAATAGATATTAATGAATCTGAAAGCAAAACAAAACAAAAACAAAAACTATAAAACTAATAAATACATCAAGGACTGAGTCCTCCAAAAAGACTGATAAGACAGACAATCCTCTCTGGAAAGTCTGAATAATAGGAAAAAGAAGAAAACGTAAACATGCAACCTTGGGAATGAGGAAAGATTTTTTAAAAAGATAGAGTTTTAAAAGATGCTAAGAGAGTATTATATGTATTTTGTGTCAATATATTTTAAAGTTTAGATGAATAAAAGAAATAATATTCACAAAGGAAATTAAAGATATACTCTAATAAAAGAAACAAATTAAAAAGCTCTGTTTTGTACCTGGTTCTAAAAGTACAGGCTAGTAAAATGTTTTTGGAAGGTAACTTAGCTTGAAAAAAAACTTATATATACATAGTGTGTGTGCATACACACACACACACACACACACACACACATACACATAATACATTCTCTCTAACATAATAATTTCTACTGGGGCTTTTTTTTCCCCCCTAAAGAAATAATCACATACATATGTAAAGATATAAAAATATTCATTTCAGCAGCATCTCAAAAAAAATGCTGAAATCGAAAAAAATTGAGGACATAGTCAGACAACAAAATACTACATATACATAATACGGAACACATAGAGAACCACAATTACTTTTCTATAAAGAATAAAAACCTGTTACAGACAGTATGCCATGATCCAATTTTTATAAATACAAATAAACAAATGACAGCAAAGATGACAAAGGTCCCTCTCTATATTTGTATCTGCCTATGAAAACTTCAGGGAGTGCTTTACTGTTTACTCATCTAGGAAGTCTGTTTAATTTTGGGAAATGGGACTTGAGATGAAGGTGGAGAAAGACTTTCTGTTTCTACTTTACAATAAAAGTATGAGTTTCTTTTTTAGTTAAAAAGATAACTGAGGGATCCCTGGGTGGCGCAGCGGTTTAGCGCCTGCCTTTGGCCCAGGGTGCGATCCTGGGGACCCGGGATCGAATCCCACGTCGGGCTCCCGGTGCATGGAGCCTGCTTCTCCCTTTGTCTGTGTCTCTGCCTCTCTCTCTCTCTGTGTGACTATCATAAATAAATAAATAAAAATTAAAAAAAATAAAATAAAAAGATAACTGAGATAAAAAAGGAAGGGAGAGAGGGAGGGGAGAAGGAAGGGAGTGAGAAAAAGAGGAAAAGGGGAATCTGGGAGGTAGGAAGCAAACTGGTATACACAGCTTTGGAGGTACCATTTGGCCCCCACAAACTTACCATCAATGTCCTAGCTACATTACAACCCAATGTGCCGGCTCCAAGCAACAGACACTTGACAGACACAACCTTCTCTAAGTCCAAAGTAGGGACCAATCTCCAACACATCAATTTGAGATTTAGATCCACTGATGACTCAGCTAACCTAGAAAATGACAGAATTATTTATTCATTCAGTCACTCATTTATGCCCCCATCTTATCCTAAAAAGATAGAAAGCATCTGAATAAGAAAATGAAGAACAAATCCTGAGCAAAATGGGATCAAAGGGAAAATAAGATGAAGCTTTAGGGCAATAGGGAGGAGAAATGACACAACATGTGTGCCACTGTAGACCACTGCAATTGCTAGTGATAGGCCACAAATTTGATACGGAGCCCCTAGCAGCCAAAGTAAAAATGCAAACATGACCACTTATAGGAGTTATTGTATCTATAAATAAAAAAGACACCAGCAACTTAAGAGGAAAGTTTTCCCTAATACTGAAAACCAAGAAATATGTCCCCTCAAAAAAGGGTGCACTTATATCATCCCTTCAATACAACGTTGGTTTCCATGAAATATTCTTACAATGTCCTTCAATGTAGGCCAATGGGACTAAATTAAAGGGCCATGAATAAAGGACTAAAAGTTAGTAGGTACTGGTGTAACTAGGTTCAAGAGTCTCAGCTCAAAGCAAGAACAAAACTTATAATGTGTAGAGAGCAGATGAACTGTGCATCCTTCAAAATCTCCATCAGGATATTAATTCGCACTAACACGCTTCAATCAAGAGTCAGTGGAGTAACACTCATCAATGCGAATGGTATCCCCTGAACTGAACTCAGTGATGCGGTTCGCCTGACAGAACCTGCTGTGTGTCTGGTGACAAACAGTCCCACTGGAGAAAACAGCTTCCAAACTATACCTTTTAGGGTCCATACATTCACTGAGGTTCACCATCCTCGGTCCCATGCCGCCTTTCTGGTTTTTTTCCCATCCGACCGCCTTGGGACAATCTTAAGGCAAATGCATTAGTGAGTTGAATGAAGGAGGGAAGAATAAAAAATGAGCAGGAAGTCAAGTAGCAAGATGGCCGACACATTAGTTTTCAGTTCACTTCTTTCTCACAGAGGCTCCAGGGTCTGAATTTGCACGTACTTGCTGCAGTTGCTCGCCATCTTCCTCAACTAGCCATACCCTTGCTGAGAGACCACCAGACCTGAGCATGGTTTTCATGTAAAGGTGCTTCTGAAATAGCCCTCAACTCTGGCCTGAGTTGAGTCAACTTCTGCAGTTCCCAGAAGTTACGCACCAAAATAGACCATCCTATCTGGGATAGGTATCTTTGGGGGGCTCTCTACCCAGGGAAGACCAGCCACAATGACTGCACTTTCCACTGAAGTTCCCACCAGGCTTTGAACCTTTGGGTTCAGTACATCCTTTCTGTTCCTCATCCTTACCATGTCCTGCTGCTCAGTCTTTCAACACGGTCACTGCACACCTAGCCTGTCCCTCTATTAAGCTGTCCTCGCCTTTAAGTGTATCCTTATCCATTCAGACTTTCCCCTTCCCTGACTTCTCTCTTCTCCACTAACTTCTTTTAATCTCTGCTATGGGTGCCTCTGAACTTCCAATTCCAGTTCTCAAAGTCCGATCTAAAAGGATAAGTGTCCCGTGGCTGCTCTAGTCTACTATTACAAAGTCCTCTTAAGTGTCTCACTTGCTTTCTAGAATACTCCTGCTACTTTCTCACCTTAACAGTGACCTGAATTCCTTGGTGGAGACCTGATAATGGCAGCCACTCACTCTCTTATACTCCTCACATCTTAGGACCTCTGTCACTCTCCCTTTCTCATCAAATACCTGAAATTCATAATAAAGCCTCAACTCCTTATCAGGAGGATAACCCATGCTGCTAGCATCCCCTCCAATGTCTGCCTTAAGTAACAGTCTGTGAAGGAACAGAAACTCCCTGACTTAAAAATGTATAGGACTACTGGGAAGAATATGTTTCTAATTTGTATGTTGGTGTTCTTTGGCCTTTCTCCTACTTTTAGATTGCTGTCAACACTTCTATTTTCTTTCCTTGGGAATCTTCTAGCTTTTGACCTTTGTTTTTAAAAACAGTATTGCTCAATGTAATTATGGGACCTACAAGGTATAGATTTCCTTAACACAATCTTTCCTTTCTGGGATAGGATGACCGATGGAAAACGTTGGAGCCATTTATCCTCAAAAGCTAGTTGGGTTTCCCTGTGGCTGGAAATATCATTCATAGCAAGGAGCCAGAAAACAAATATCCCTTCCACTTTAACTCAGGCACTCTGATGTGGGTTTTTTGTTTTTTAATGTAATCAAAAATTAAAACGTATGTAATAGATGAGTTCTTGGGGCACCTGGATGGCTCAATGGTTGAGTGTCTGCCTATGGCTCAGGGAGTGATCCTAGGGTCCTGAGACTGAGTCCTGCAGCAGGTTCCCTGCAGGGAGCCTGCTATTCCCTCTGCCTGTGTCTCTGCCTCTCTCTCTCTCTCTCTGTGTCTCTCATGAATAAATAAGTAAAATCTTAAAAAAAAAAATAGATGAGTTCTTAAGTCAAGAATTCAAAATTCTTTTTTTCTGGGAAAAGGAATTCAGACATGTTACTAAATTCATATTTTGTTTGTTTTCCTTAACTATTCTTACATTAAATTTTAAAAATGCTTCTAATATATAGCCAAAAACTTGAAGATTTCAGAACCACAGTCTAGTACTGTAACTAATAACTCTGGCCTAAGTTTTCTCTTGTTACAGATAAGAAGTCATAGGACAAAAAAAAAATTCATTTCAAATGAAAACATCTCTGTAATCAAAACCTTATAGCCATTTCTATATGGCTATATAAAATTAGATAATACTTTAAGTATTATCTAATTAGATATACTTTAAGATATAAAAATAAATAAAATTAGATATACTTTAAGCTTAATAATGAAAAAGATATATATTTAATCTATCAATAGTGTTTAGTACATCTTGTCTGCCTCTGTATCAACTACATCCATAAGACATGCCCCAAATTAATAGAAAAATATTTTTAGGAGAAAAGCTGAACAAGCAGGAGGAGAACATGAAGGACAGGAATTAAAATGAAGAATCTCCCACTCTCAGCAGAGTCAGTTGCCTTCTTCAGCTGGCTGCCAGGACACTTTTTGTAACAACAATGGACAGTGGATTTGACTGTGCCACAAGGAGCAAAGGATGATTAAAATTATACTTTTATGTCACTGCCATTGCAACTATGGGTTGTCTTCAAAATAATAAAAAATACTATCATATCAACAACCTTCAGTTCACACTATGATATAGAATAACTCTTTACAAAGTTTTATTCAGCTTTATTTAGAGGGGCGCCTGGGTGGCTCAGTTGGTTAAACATCTGCCTTCAGCTCAGGTCATGATCTCAGGATCCTGGGACCAAGCCCCACATTGGGCTCTCCGCTCAGCGGGGAGAGCTTCTCCCTCTCCCTCTGCCTGCCACTTTTATAGTCTTTTAAGAATAAATAATAAATTAATAAATTAATAATTAAATTAATAAATAAATAAGTCTTTTAAGAAAAATAAGAAATAAAGTTTTATTTAGAGCTATGAGGGAAAACATTAATGTACACATAAAAAGAAAGAAAATTTGCCTTTTCTAAAGTAAATGATCTACACTCAACATCAAGCATAAAGAAGCTGTATCGAAGGCATTATTGGATGATAGAAAACATTTTTCTTTTTTTTTTAAGATTTTATTTATTTATTCATGAGACACACACACACACACACACACACACACACACAGGGGCAGGAGAGGAGAAGCAGGGTCCATGCAGGGAGCCTGACTTGGGACTCAATCCCAGGTCTCCAGCACTGGGCCAAAGGCGGTGCTAAACTGCTGAGCCACCAGGGCTGCCTGAAAATATAGTTTTCAAAAGGAGATGTGCAATGTTTCTGGGCTTTGCTAGCTTCACCAAACATCAGCAAGATTGCTGGGATTGTGGAGGAAGAATCATACGAAGACTTTATCATAAAAATGGAAAACAAAAGTGCCTACTCTATAGGATGGCTGGCAGGATTGAGTAGTGTGGAAGGCACCTGGTGGTTTGTCAGGCACAGACCAGGCACACATTGTTAGTTAACTCACCCATTCCCCTAGAACTATCTACAGTTGTTGGTTTAGTAACACACAGGTATGGTACCTCAGTTAACAGCATATGGAAGCTATTTTAGAATGTGCCAGAAGAGGGTGCTAAATCAAATGCTTGTATCTAAAGACAGAGAAGCAGAGGATTTCTTAGGGCTCTCAACTTAAAACCTGTAGCCTTTCTTTGCCTAACCAAGCCGAATCCATCATCAACCTTTCCCAGAGATCTATTTAAAACATTTATCAGTGCTGTGGCAAAGAATCACCAATAAAATGCCCTCAGAGCCAATCCTGAAACCTTCTGACTTCACTCTAGAAGGCATCTCAGAGGAGGTGATAACACCGCCCTCCCCAACACACACACATAGACACTCTCTCTCTCTCTCTCTCTCTGTCTCTCTCTGAGACACACAACCCCCAGATGAAAGAAAGCAATGCGCCTTGGAACAATGCAGAGGTGGTAAAGAGCAAATTAACGTGTATAAAGGTACCCTGGAAAGCATGTAAGTCACAGAAATCTGAGATCATTTTGGAGAGTGCTGGGCTTTGTGTAAGATAGGAAATTAACATAAATTAGCATCTATTAAATACCTATAATATGCCAGACTTTGTGTTCTTTTACACAAGACACATATTCGTCCTAAGGGAGACTCCATGAGGTGGGTATTATTATCTTTATTTTATTCAAATTTGAGTATGTATTCTATCTTTGTAACATGCATATAAATACATAAATGTATGTGTACACACACACACACACACATCTGTAAAATATCTGTGAGTTAAAGTTTCCTAACAGCTACCGTCTACCACCCTGGATCTAAAGAAGAATACTAAACGTGAAAGGAGAAATGGCACTTCTGCTGACTGGTTTGCTACATGGAGAGCAGGATCACACATAATTTTATATAACAAATGAATACGTAAATGTATTAATACTTTGTTCTTCCCGTAAGAAAGGTCAGGAATAAAGATTTTATGTGAAACAAAAACTAAGGGGGAAAAGAATCCTCAAGAATGAAAGAAAAAAAAGGCCTGGAGGAAATTTCCTGAGGACATTCTCTGCCTTTGTTCCTTTCTGAATAGCAGTGTGTGCCCTCTGTTCAAGGGAGGTGTTCCCATGGGCAAAAAGGTAGAAGCTGTACTTTTTTCTACCTTCTGCTGCCATTGTGAAGGGATGAAAGTTAAGCTTGCTTCAGTTTCTGATATATGATAATTATATGCATTCTCAAAGACCTGCAAATTACCTGGGCTAAATGCCATTTCTGGAAGCTTCACTTCGAAGATGATGCTGTGGGCAATGTCTCTCACTCCCTGCATGGTGCGGTCCCGGAAGCAGAGGACTTCAACAGACTGGAAACAGCTACTCCTGATGTCAGGCCCCAGATTTTAATTAATTCATTTTTTTCAAGGAAGGAAAAGAAAGAGCTCACATAAGAGCTTCAGCAAAACCAGTTGGAGAGTATTCAATTCATTGTTAATTATGCCTCCCTGACACTCGGGGCATGGCCTTAACCTCCGAGAGATTCTGAACACATCCACATGTTTTCCTTTATCTAAATGTTTAGAGACTGAACAATGAATTGGCTGATTTCTTTCTAAGTGAATTTTATATAACAATTACATTGCAAATAAATAATTCTGACAAATGCATCTTAAGTGCAGGGGAAATAAAGCTTACAGGACATTAAAAAGAACCTCTAAGACACACATAGGTTCTCCTGGTTCCCCCTTCTCCCCTTCTGAACTCACATTCTATGAAACAGCTCCTTAGTCAGGAGTAGTTAGCAAACCATGTGCGCTCTACAGACACTATCTGGATAACCAAGTGCAATCATTCCCCCTCTAGGGACAATCTATAATTTAGCTATCTTCATTTTTTAAAAGCATTTTTATGTAAGTCAAACAGATAGGAAGATAAGTACACAAGTCCTAAAATAAAAGAGCTTATCTCATGCCTTCTCCCAGGGTGGGCTACCTCCCTCAAGAGTAACTGCTACTCTAATGTCTAAGTCCATTCCCGGGTTTTGCCTATTCTGATCTTTACACGGAAAGAATCTAGAGTGTGTATTCTTTTAAGGTCTAGCTTACCTTGACTCAAAATTATGGCATCCATGTTGAAACGTGCATTAGCAGTTCACTCAGATTTACGATAACATCCCATTCTGTTGCAGTGACTGTGTCACAATTTATTAACCATTTCATGTTGAGGGACATCATCTGGGTTATTCCCAGTGTTTGATTATAAAGAAAAATGCTGCTATAAATATCCCTGCATGTGTGTTTTGCTTGTATATGAGTGCACATTTCTGTGCACTATCTACCTGTGAAAAAAAATCATTGAGCCATACATAGTTTTAACTCTAGTGGATGCTGCCACTTTTTAAGCAGTTTGAAGGAGAGATTCACATCTTTGTGATGTGAATGAGATGTGAGAGTCATATCTTTTGACAATGCTTGGTACTGTCATCTTTTTCAAGTCATTTTGTAGGCATATAGTAGTATCTCAGCATGGTACTTCAGTATCTCTATTACTGAGTAGAAACTCATTATATTTTATGTCCATGATGACTAATGATGTTGAGCATCTTTTCAAATGTATACTGACCTCTTAGATACCCTCTGTTTTCATTATTTTAGGGCTAGGAGAAAAGGAAGACAGTAGTAAAGGAAAATCCTATCTGAGAGTGACCCAGACGTCTGGAGGAAGGGGCTGGAGAGTTTCCAGCTTGGAACCTCTGCTGCTCATCCTGCCCTACTCTGAAATGTCTTTAGTGTAATATGGTCAGAGTCTGCAACTCTGTAACATACCTGCTTAGGGGCTCACCACTGATGGAAACTGGACTGATGGATTGATTTATTATCTGGTTTCTATGCCAGAAATGAAAAAATGCATATGGGAAAAAAGAGACACAGGCAGAGGCAAACACAATGTCAAAAACAGATCGACAGAGACAGACAGACACACACATGTAAATACCATCGGTGAGCTGCTAGGACCAAAAGATTCCTCAAAGGCCATCCGGGGTGCTGGGCTAAGTTACAGGGATCATATACACCAATTGTTATCTGTGAACAGAAAAGATTTTCTGAGAAAGTATCATGTTAGGTTCACAGTATAGGCACTGCTAAGACTTCTTCTTCCCTTTAATGCTATTCTGCAAAAGCATTAACAATCAGACATTTGATGAAGGGCTAGAGGGAAGAGAAGAAAGCAAAAGGATCACACACCAGACCGCTGAACTTCTAGATAGAGGGGCTGTCAAATTCTTCTCTGCACTCTCCCACACCTTATAGTAGGCCCAGCATAGTAGGAACTAGATATATTTAGAGGGAAGAATTTTGATTACTCTAGTTCCAGTTAGTTCTATAAGAATGAGACCAGCCCAAACAATTCCACTTATTTACTATAACGCTCAACGTAGTGTTGGACACAAGGTAGAAGCTTAACCCATACTCAGAGAAAGGGAAGAAAGAAAACGAAAAGGAAGGAAAGGTGGGAGGGAAAGAGAGAGAGGAAAGAAGGGAGAGAGGGAGGGAGGGAGGGAGGGAGGGAGGGAGGGAGGAGGAGGAAGGAAGGAAGGAAGGAATTTTTATTACTAAGCAAAAATGACATCATGTTATAAATACTGTTTTATATCTCTTATTCTATTGCAAACTTTCCACACCAATAAATGTCATTCTACAACCACTGTCAGTAGTGGCTGAAGGGCATTCCATTGTACTGGTGCACCATAACTTTTTTCTATTTCCTACTGAAGGACAATTAATTAGCCTTCATCTGTGCTCAATAAATACTTCTGAAAATGAATTTTACTCTTATCAGATAATTACTGTATTATTTCCAAGGATATTCTTTTTTTGCTACCTTCTCTATGTGAAATTTTCTTATTCCTAACACTGAAGCTTTTTGTCTAGGTGTATTTCATGCCTTTAATGCAAACTGACGGATTCATACTTAATTCAATACAGATTCAAATATATAACCATCCTTTCAGGAAACACAGAACGTCTTTATTTGAGATTTCCTTTTCCATGGGAGATGAAACACCAGCATCCAGGAAGCTTTTAAAAACAGAGTTTGCAGAAACTATTATTCTGAGTACTGCCCCTAACTATGTGAGTAGCCTAGGGCAAATCAGTCAAATTCTTTAGACATCAGCTTTTTTTCCCTTTTTTTTTTTAAGAGGTGAGGAGGGGCAGAGGGAGAAAGGATCTCAAGTAGACTTCCCGCTGAGCACAGAGCCTGACAGACTGCTCAATCTCATGACCCTGAGATCATGACCTGAGCTGAAATCAAGAGGAGGACACTTAACTGAGTGAGGAACCCAGGCACTCCAGGCCTCAGCTTTTTAAACCTGAATCAAAGGGTGCACCTACCTCACAGGGCTGTAATGAGGATTACAGGATATAGTACTGACATGAAAAGCCCTGTACATGTGTAGTGCTGCTAATATCTTATTAGTGCCTCCAAATCTCCAGTGGTGAGGCTAGCTATCTGTATCTGTATAAAGTGCCTAAGTAATTCTGGTGCACTTGGACCAGTCCACACGCATACTCTGAAAACCACTAGAGAAGGTTATTTCTCTTTTGTAGACAAAAGAATAAAAAGTCTGTGGGGCCACTTTCATTACCTTGGAAAATCTGTATTGGTTCTATGTCTTTCCATTCTCTGTAAAATGCAGTTCATGCAACAGTAGCATCACATGGGAATTTGTCAGAAATGCAGAATCTCAGACTTCTGGTTTCCAGCCCTGCTAGATCCAAATCTGCATTTTAACAAGGACCCAGGTGATCTGCATGCTATATTTTGTCCTATATTCTTCCTATAGTAACTGATTATTTGTTGAACCTTGGTATTTTCTTGATTCAAAGGCACCACAGACTATAAAATGCACTCTCCAACCAGAAAAAAAAGAGTAAACACCATTAAATATATGCAACAACTGCAAGAAATTCCTGACTTTAGAAAAATAATAATGTGAGGAAAAATGCAATTTAGGGATGTCTGGGTGGCTCAGTGGTTAAGCATCTGCCTTCAGCTCAGGTTGTGAACCCAGGATCCTGGGATCGAATTCCGCATCACGCTCCCCATGGGGAGCCTGCATCTCCCTCTGCCTATGTCTCTGCCTCTCTCTCTATTTCTCATTAATAAATAAAATCTTTTAAAAAAAGGAAAAATTCATTTCAGAATGGAGGATGCCTTTCGTATCTGTTTCTTTGCTGGCTTCTGTGAGGGCTCGAGCAATGTCTAACATATGCATCTTTCCATCCTTGGTGCCTGGCACAGTACTGGATACTAAGCAAACAGTGCTGAAAAAATGACAGAATTGGTCATTTCTCTAGGTCCCACTATCTGGAAAGCTCTACCCCTTACACCTTATCTTTGGGCAGGGATCCTGGGGGGCAGCTGGAGGGAAGGAAGTGATGGCTGACCAACAGAGATCTGAAGCTCACATATAAAGCCATGGTGCAGCATCTTGGCTAGCTCCTTTTCCTCCCCTTTCCCTTCTCAACAGTACAGGTTCCCCCTTCAGTGACATTTTAACACTAGGATTCTCCTGCTGGGTGAGAATGTGACAGTTTAATCTCAAGGGATTTGCTCTGAGAAGCGAGAGAACTCAAAGAATTAGGCACTCCCCCTAAGGCTCCCTCTGAATGCAGAAGTTGTCTCCCTTTCTCCCTTGAGTTGTTCTGGTCCCATTGGCCACCACCACCACCTGGGATACCTTTCAGCTTTGTTCCTTTCTTTCAGTCATGACAGTCATGACAGACAGCATCTACTGGACAAACTACATTTAAAAGTAATCACTCCTTTGACTTCACATTTTTAAAAATTCATCAAAGACATTTACAACTCTATTATCCAGCAAGAAAAGAGGGAGAAGGGAGAGACTGGCATTCTATTTCTGGAACATTTAAAACAGCTTAGAAGAAGAAAATGACCTGATGTGGTGGAAAAAGCACCAGCTAGAGGTCAGAAGGCATGTGTTCTAATTCTACCACTGACTGATTTTCAGACCTTGGGGGTGAGTAGGCAAGCATACTAATGTAGGGAAGAAAACTGATGGTGGGGGGAAATTCTGTCCTCACCTATAAAAAAAGGACACAACAAGTTGTATCTCCCTCCCTCGTTCCCTTCCTTTCTTTCTTTTTAAAGATTTTATTTATTTATTCATGAGAGATAAGGAGAGAGAGGCAGAGACATAGGCAGAGGGAGAAGCAGGCTCCCTGCAGGGAGCCTGATGCAGGACTCAATCCCAGGACCCAGGATCACCCCCTGAGCCAAAGGCAGATGCTCAACCACTGAGCCACCCAGGTGCCCCATGGGTTGTATAATTTCATCTCAAAAGATTCCTTTTACTTCCAGAATTATAAAACTTTATAGAACATTAAAGAGAAGTAAAATCCTACATATGTTATAAGGCAACACAGACTTATTAGGCTCATCTTACTGGGTATCTAAAGGCTACTCAACTTTTATTTAGGAAGAATCTAGATAATATCAATCCAGAAAATCCTGTTTGCATTGAGATTCTGAGTTTCAATTTTCAAATGTGATTCAGTAGATATGGACTCTTAGCAGATGCCCTGAGTTACTTACTCTCATACTAGTTCTCTATGCCTTAGGTTTCTCCTCCTTGGAGAACTCTGCCCGGACTCGGACTGGAAACAAGGCAAACACTCAACAAATGCTAACACTAACAGCCATGTAGATAAGCTCTAGCTTATCTACTGTAGTCCCTGCAGGTTCAATCTGTTACTGTTACATAGTATAGATGTACCCTCAGTCTCAATGTTCCTTTTTCCTAACTGGCAGAGAAAAGAAGGGATAAGTTCCAGTTTATCAAATATTTTCTACACTTGGGTTTTATCATCTGTATATGCAGATTTGGGACTAAGTGAATTTTAATCATAGAAACAGGGTAGTCTGGGTGGCTCAGCAGTTTAGCGCTGCCTTCAGCCCAGGGCCTGATCCTGGAGATCCGGGATCAAGTCCAACATCGGGCTCCCTGCATGGAGCCTGCTTCTCCCTCTGCCTGTGTCTCTGCCTCTCTCTCCCTCTCTCTCTCATGAATAAATAAATAAAATCTTAAAAAAAAAAGAAAGAAACAAGAATATCATATAAGGTACTATAAGTGGGTGCCTAATTTCAAAGAATGAGCATATTTCTGACACTAAATACAAAAACAATGAGATAAGAAGGTGATAAAAAAAAAAAAAAAACTTTTTCTGAGCAGCAAAAACCAGGAACAGGTTAACAGGTTTCTTAGAGCAACCTGACCTAAAATGAGCTACGGCACAGGAATGAACTGCTAGAGAGAATCTATCACCCACAAAGGGAGGTCGACTTGGAAATGCTTTAAAGTAACTCTCCTAGGGGTCCCTGAGTGGCTCAGTGGTTTAGCGCCTGCCTTCGGCCCAGGGCGTGATCCTGGAGTCCTGGGATCCAGTTCCTCACCGGGATCCTTGCATGGAGCCTGCTTCTTTGCCTCTCTATCTGTGTCTCTCATAAATGAATAAATAAAATCTTTAAAAAAATAAATAAACAAAGCAACCCTCCTACCCACATGAGGCATGCATGAGTACAAAAAGCAAACATCCAGACAGGAAAATTACAGAATCCATTTGACATTTAGGCTGAACATTATTTAATATTTCTTTGATAATTCAAAAGTTATTCCAAAATGTTTAAGTGCTTTTGGAACCAAATCAGGAACGTCAATTACTGTAGAAATTAGTCAGCACAATAGTAGGTAAGCCAGCTTAACTCTTTGGGTAAATAGATTTTTTTTTATTGGTGGTAGTGACAGTCAGAAATCATCATGGGCCAGGAGTTCTGTGTTCTCCAACTGGCTTTGTCACACAATCATTGTGTGAAGTTGGGCAAATCATTTCCTTTTGTAATACAAATCAGTAGAAAGAAGCAAAATGTAATTGGAAAAAAAAATTGTTCAGAAGGTTGTTGATATAAATGCTCCTTTCTACTTGGCTGAGAGCATGCAATTCGTTGAAGTAGCTCAGTCATGCTCTGGCTATGGTCCACCCAGCTATTTGCCGAGAAAGTACAGTGTAAGAGAGAAAAGGGCAAAATTGTCAACTTGAGTAACTTCAGTAAACACGTTTATCTGACAAATGGCCATCTATTACTCAAACACTTGATATAACAGGAAATGTGCAAAGGCGATTACAGGTTTTAAAAGAAAAGGACAAAAATCCAAGTATCTAATGCACAGCAATGTCACAGATGGCTGCCAAGACGTGGAGCTTGCTAAGTGAAGAAAGAGCCCACTAATAGCATATCAATTGCTGTTCCTTTGCTATCGTTCTTGTCCAAAGATTTTAAAACCCTAGAATTAAACGCTAATGTTGTTAAAATTACAAAATGTTTCCCAAACATCCAATCTTCAGTAACTGCTCTGCAGAAAGCCAAAGACTCAAGCAAGCTTTCCAAAAAGACTAGCAATGGAATAGTGATATGGGCTGTTTTTGATGGAATCACAAGCACTGGCTTGAAGGACAAGTAATTGTTGTTAGTGACGCAGTTGCCACTGTGACTACTCAGCAGAATCGTTATTTCCCTGAGGGGAAATAAGAACGTAAACAAGGCCCATTTTTAACTGATGCAAATATGTAAAATGTACAACATTCCAGAGCTGGTAAGGGGGCACAGCTGGCAGGACCAAGAATTGGCATGGTTTGTGTGCTAGAGCTATGACAGATAAGCAGTGGTGTGCCAGAGCTGGTGCAGGCAGACTTGGAAGAGTCAACCGTTACCGTCTCTTGCCATTCCATGTTCTGTGACTTCACATTAGTAGTTTGAAATTGGCCACAGTGGGAGTAGCAGCACCACAGAAAGAAGCAAACACTATACAATCAGGGTTTTGCCCTACCTGAGAGTCAGCTGTCAAACATTTACGGGTGTACCATCGACGGTAAACCTTAAAGTATTCAAACCCTTTCACTAAGTAACTATCTAGGAATCCTTTCTAAGGAGATAATTCAAGATAAGTGGGGGGAAGGCAGTAATTTGATGCACAGGGAGGCTTTGAATAGTGATGAAGTTATGAGAAAACTAAATGTCAAAAATCTGACGTCTCTATCAGAAAGGATGTTGATAACGAGTGTAACAGTACTACGCTAAGTCCTACAATAAAAAGAGACTCTGGTAACTCTGGAAATTAAGTTAAAATATAAAATAAAATATCAGAAAGGAAAACAGAAATAACTTTATCACGAATAGGAAGTAGGGAACCCAAAATTACTCTGAGGTGTAATAGAGCTAGGAAAATCTGGAGGAGAAGCTGATTTGGGAACAAGGGTAGGAGAGGATGAAGATACAGAATGTTCCACAACATTCTTTGGAGGACTAAAGAAATCTAAGTGAGTCTGAATTTTGCAGTGGTCTTACTACGACATGAACATCAGATGTTTTTTAGGGCTAATAAAATGAAACTCAGAGTTTCTCTGACCTTTGTCCTTTGGTCTTGGAAGAAATCACTGTAGTGTTTAAGCAGGGAAACCAGTACCATGTTCTCATCATACTTGATTAAGAAGTATGGTAGCGCTGGGACTCCTTCTGTTTGACAAAGATCATCATATGCATGCTCAAGGGCTTGAATCTAAGAACAGGAAACAATGAGTTATTCTCCAGACAACTTCATATCTACTTCTGAGCTTAAAATTAACATAAAAGGCACTTTTAAAGCCAGGAGACTAGAAATGACTGAGCATACCCCTGTTATTCTTTTGCAACAAATGAACATATAAGTACTTCAAATAATACCCCTTCACTTCTATGTAGCATTTTCCATGTGCACGGTGGTGTGTCTTAGACAGGGGCATGAGGGGACATTTTATGGTGCAGTATGGTGGTTCCCTAAGATGCTAATCACAAAGATGTACAGAGAGCTCCTTTAAAAACCAAGGACTGAATCCACCACTGATGAATTTTACCCTAAACCTTTCCATAAAATAACAGCATTATTGAGACATACCTCACTTACTATACAATTCACGGACGTAAAGTGCATAATTCAGCTGTTTTTAGCATGCTCATATGATTACCCAACCATCAATACAATAATTTTACAGTATTTATGTCGCTCCTAAAAGAAACACTGTATCCATCAGCAGTCAGTCCTATGGCATAGTCCTTTTCCTCCACTTATATTTCTTGGGAAATTAGTTACACAAAACAACCTTCAATTTGTTCTAAACAAACTTACTACTATTTTTTCATCAATAAGGGCTTTTCCCTGGTGTTAGAATTCATGGTTTAGTGATTGACGTGCTTCATGATTTTCAGATCATCTTGACATGACCACAATGTTGCCTCAATAGCAATCAGAATTCTTTGGTTTAGGATCTGTGTTCTACTGGCCTGATTATTTTCACTGCTCTTCTCAGGATCATCTCTGATGACCTTATTGTCTTTCGTAGACCACAAAGACTAGCTCTGCATGTGCCATTCCTGATGTTCCACAACATGGTGTGAGGGTGGTAGAATGTCTTCTGTTTGGTTTCAAAGACTCTTTCCAAAGTATACTGCCTTAGGATCCTCACAGTGAAAGTGAAAACCACATTTTGGCAAATTCTTGCAGACTTAACAACATATTCCCATAACTCCTCCCCACCAGCTTAGCTTTTCACCAAATGTCACTGAAAATCTGAAAAAATATCACTCACTACTCCTTCAATATGATTTTACAAACATGTTGTGAATAAGTCTGCTCCTAATACCATGTATGGAGGATTCCACAGTGACCATCTCTTCATTCAGCAAGTGCCTATCTGTCTTTAGAATGAACTAAAGTACTCAAGTGTGTTAAGTCCAATTTTTGCTGCATTTTGTTTTATTTGTTGATACCTGTTTTGACGAAAACCTTTGATCCAAGCCCACTGGACCCTGGATGAGGGGTATACTCTCTGGAAGGCAGAGAGCAGGGAAGCAAAACCAGTAGTAGAAGTGGTACTTCTTTAGATCCTAGAAGAAAGAATATGACAGAGGATATCAGAGTAGCACCAATGATTAAATTGAAATGCAACTATTAATGTAATTCCCCACTGCCATGTAGACAGACACACTGATGCACAAAAGATATGATCAGCTGGTCAGAAAGTCTCATCTTCTATAGAACTCATGATAGAATACAGAATTTCTCTTAAAGTATTCCTACACACCACACACGAATATCTCATGATAAACATATCAGCCACTTGCTAACAGAAAGTGTTGACAATTATCATCATCCTTGTTTAATATACAAAATCACTCCTGGAAGTAACTATTATCCCTTTTAATGTACAGAAAACTAAAGGTCAGAGGGGGAGAAGAACTCAATAAAACAAAAATACTGAGTGGTGAAGAAGGGGGCAAGATTCTGTTTCTGAAATTTAAACTCTGTTCATGGTACCAATCATCCATACTCAATAATCCATCTGGGGAGGCTCAACCACCAAACATGGTTACCACTCTTCATAATCAAATGCATTGAGCATGTTATTGAAGAAGCTGTGCTATCCATAACCTATATATGCCTGGGATAATAAAATAATGCTTTCAGAAATGCCTCATTGGTGAAATTTGGATCAGCAACTATTCAGCACTTGCTATGTACAAAGCGATACATTAGACACTGATAGATAAGTAAAACCCAGTCCAGCCCTTAGACAGCTGTAGAGGCAGAGACAAAGTGAGTCCATGATTAATGCCACAGGTCACAGAAGAGGTTCTGAGAACAAAGGAACATCAGTGACATGAGATTACATCTTCAGGGATGTATCTGACCACTCCTCCACCAAGGGATGCAAGGCAGAGACAATGACTCATGAAGCTGATCTTGAAAACTTCCCACTCAGGCTGGATGCTCTTGCCTCTGGATTTTTGCAGCCTTTGTGGCCTAAGTCATTCCTAGGGTGGGATCTCATAGTTATATGAGCAGTTGGCAGCTTCTCCACCAGTCTATCTTTGGCTAATCAATATTGCTTCTTGAATCTTGCCAAGAATAAAGAATAGGTAGTTGTTTGATGACTTTTTATTGAGATAAAACTCACATACCAGAAAATTTACCATGTTCAAGTGTAGAACTGGGTGGTTTTCTGGTATATTGACAAGGTTGTACCACCACTCAACTGCAGAACATTTCACTGCCCCAAAAAGAAACTCTAATAGCAGAGCCCCTCCCACCTCTGTCAATTTATTAGTTAGAAAAACCCATCCACAGAGCTCCCCATTCTCTCTTCTCCCCCCCCCCCCCCTGCCTTGGAACCAGTCACCTATTTCATGCCTCTATGGATTTGTCTATTCTGGGCTTTTCATATAAATGAAATTGTACTAGATAACTTTTTGAATATAAATGTATATATAAACGTGTGTCTGGATGAGGAAGTCTAGTAATTATAGTTTCCAGTTTCTAATTCTGCCATTAGTTGATCGACTAAGAACAAATTCCCTTTTGACAGCAGCAAAACAAAATACAAAATTGAAATTAATGAAGTGCCTGTTCCTTTGAGTCCTAAAAACAGTAGAAAGGAAAGTGAAAACATCTCCAGAGATTATTCTCTCTTCTTTATACTTAAATGATTTGTCATAACTGATCTTTAGTCAAAGGTTAAACAATTCAAGATGAAAAACTTCACAATTTCTAAGAAGCTTTATCAGATCATCTTCAAAAGTCAAAAGGCTTGAATTTCTTAGAATTCTTTTCAGGATACAAAGGACCTCGATTAAATTAAACATAAAGCCCTTTGTGTTTGAAGATTTTAAAAGATAGAGACTTTTAATTTTTTTTTTTTAAAGGCAAGGTAAGAATGATCAGTAGAAAGGGCAGCAGGGCCAACACACATACTAACTCTAGGAAATGCCTTAAAACTTTAAGTAAGAGCTAATGTTATTTTTCTCATTAAACACAAATTGTCAGATTCTATTACTGAGAATTCTTGGTACAGAAAATATATCTATATTAAAGTAACAAACCCAGAAATCCTTAACTAGCACTACTTATCTCTTAGTAACAGATCTACAAAATTGCTCAAATTTACAAGCAAATTATTAATGCCAAATTGCAGTCAATAATCTCATGAAGAATTTAAACATTTTTCTCTCTCTCTTGCTATTACACAGAAAGCATTATAACACGTTAGGTAATGTGCTCCTTATATAATAGCCACCCTTTGACATGGCCTTCAGTATGATTTTTATCATTCTCTCCTTTGTCTTGGGCAGATATATACACAGACATACAAACATATACATACACAGGTGTGTATGTGGCTGGTATCTCTATAATCCACCCTTACACTTTCCCACACTGCCCATCATAGAGACCAGGTCCTTCCCTCTACTTCCCTAGGCAACAGATGTTACACTTACACAAAACATTTTTCATTCTTAAAAAGAAACACAGCTGTATGGACAAACTATGTAGTGTGAACTCCTCTAGTCCAGAAGCTGTTGGGGGATAGTCATGATCCCCAAGATGTCACCTTTTCCTTATGTTGATGGACGCAGCAACTGAGCTCCACAGGATTGTACTGAAAAAAGACATTAGCAACAAAGAACCACTACTCCCTGAAGCTGACTTTATTGTGTCCTGAATGACAAGACATGGGTCACCATGTTACACAAACCATGTGATTATGATCAGTATGGTCAGTAAGAATGAATAAGTTTTGCACTGGTGTTAAGTGCCAGCACTATGGGGCCACTTATCAAATGAGTGTTTCTTGAACAGCTCTGACTTCAATTATACCAGGTTGTAGCTTCAGTGAAAAGAGCACAGTGTCCTATCGGCAGCCTGGACTTGGCCAGTGCATTTCAGCAGTCTAAATGTACCCAAGAGTCCATTTACTTACTGCAAATGTCAAGAGGAGGAACTTGTTGAGGAGGACAGGGTTTTCAAGAGCAGCGCCTGATTTTATGGCTTCCCATATCTGTCATAAGAAAGAGAAGTGTCAAGGCAGGTTCTCAGGCATCTCTGAACTTCGCTCTCAAGTGAAGCACAGAGGCAAAAAGCTTCGAGCTCTTCTTTCCTCCAAGTCCAGCACCACTTAACCCAGGCTGTAAAGTAGGTTGTTACCTCACTCTGGCCACACTCCCTGTGGCCACTGAAAAGATTGAAAGAACCCAGTAACCCTACTCTTTGTCAGTCTCAGCATCCAAGGAGGCAAGCATGCCTTCCTTATTTCCCCCAACAAATGTTTACTGCCTACTAGCTACCAGGCACATTAGGATTACAGAATAAAAGACACAGTCTCTACCCTCAAGAAGCTTTGGGTTTGGTGAGGGAGATGGGCATAAATGTCCGAGTGCACCACCAGTTAGGACATGCTACCTCAAAGGGATGTGGAATTCCTGGAATTCGGTGGAACTGCCACCAAACTGGGCTGAGCAGGTGGAAGGGCAAGGAGCAAAGGAGGGATTCTAGGAGGCAGTGATCTGAACTAGATGTAGGAGATTTCTAGAAGAGGGATTATCTCGCATAATCTTGAGTATCTATGCATACTCAGCAAGTATTGCAACCAGAAGCAGAGCTGGTATGGTTTGTAGCTGCTGATCACAAGATGTTTCAGCAGCTGAAATTAGCTGCTAAACTCTGTCACTAAGCAAGGCAAACAGTTGCACCAATAGGAGCCACTGAGTGGAAGAGAAGTTCCTGCCATCGACATAATAACCTTGGAGGAGCGGGACCATTCCCCACTCCTGAGAAACTAAGGGTGTAGGAACTGCTGGGGAGTGTCGACGGAGGTAAAGGCTGAGCCCCAGGGCAAGGGGTGGGATTTCTGTGGGGAATAATCTGTGATTTTTGATGATGGATGAGAACCTGACCCCACTCTTTGGAGACAGGCTTTGAAATGTGCAGCCAGAGCAGGAGCCTAGAAGCAGTGAAGCTGCAGGCCAAGGAAAACCACCATCATCACCTGTATCACAAGCTATACCCATCTCAAGGGATGTAAAGGATGCCTTCCTCAGGACCAAAGAGAGAAGATTTCCTTCTCTGACCATGGCATCTACATAAATAAGACTCTTTTCTATTTTAAGACTAGTGTGAAGACCACTTGATTAAGTAGGTTAGAGAGGATAGGAATAAACTGTTCTCCTATTTTAATTCATAACACTCAGATGTGAAGAAGTAAGGGAAAGACACTCTTGGCAGAGAGAATATTATATCCCAAGGACAGGGGTGAGAACAAAAGTAGGGGAAGGAATTTTAAGTGATTTATTGTGATGGGGTCAGAGAAGGTAAGGGCAAGAATGACAGGGGAGAAAGGCCAAAGAGGCCAGGCCACAGGGACCTTGTAAATCAGATGGAGTAGTTTAGATGGAGCCCGAAAGATCCTAGAGAGACTCTACAATTACTTCTGATAGCATTACAGTGCTTAAAAGTGGAAGCACAAAGAACAGAGAACACAAAGGCATGCAGACACAGGAACAGAACTCTCAGGGCTGGGTCAAGCTGCTTCCAAATGCTAACTGAAAGCAGCAGCAAAGCTTTTTACAACTACCCTGCCGGGACTTTCCAGCCTATCCCCAGCTGAGAGCCTGAAGGTCTTCTCCCTGACCTTCCCGCCAACACAGGAGAGCTGCAAGTACTCTCTCCGAGATAAACCAGAGCCCACAGCTATCTTTAAGTACCTGCTCTATGCCTGTTTCCATGCCAGACCCATGTACGTGATCAGAGACACTGGACCTACCATGCTACCCCATCGTTTCCCAGCTCACCTCATCTGCTGCTTGCTCCAAAAGTAGCTTCTTATCTGCGGCCTTGAAAGCCTCAAGTGTGTTGGTATTAAAGAGCGTTCCAACAGCCGGGCAGCAGTGGGCTGGGGTGGGAGCACTCCTGGACAGGGGAGAAACATGGTTAGGCAGGCACAGCCAGGACAGCAGTGGGAGACAAAGGACAGTGGTCTATAGGGTAAAGAAAGATTAATCACATGTTTCTTTGGGAAAAGATGAATATCCTTGCTTAAGAACTAAAAAAAATAGGCATTATATGCATGAAAAAAGCCTGTATATTCCTTTGCCCTTATCTCTCTTCCACTGCCCACCACTCCACCCTCAAATATAAGTTCATTACCTAGTTTTTACTCTTTCCCATCTTTAACCTGAAAGGGAAACATCAATTATTGAAGTTCTACTGTGCCACTTGTATAGACAAGTGTTGAATTTTCCTAACAGCTCTTTCTCCCAGTTAAAAGCTTAAGTAACTGGCCTAAGGTCACATAAAGGCAGAGCAGTATTCTAAAGCCAGAACTAGCAGACTCCATGGTACTGAAGGTACTGAGCTGCCTACTTCCCACTCAGACACTCTCAGGCTTCAAGGCCCTGCTCTAAACCCTCCCCTTCCAGGAAGCCCCTCCCATTTCTCTGGTTATGGCCAGCAGAGGAAAATGAGCATCACATTTTATTTTATTTTATTTTTTAAAGATTTTATTTCTTTATTTGACAGACAGAAAGAGAAAACATAAGCAGGAGTGGCAGGCAGAGGGAGAGGGAGAAGCAGGCTCCCACTGAGCAGGGAGCTCAATGCAGGGCTCAATTCCAGGACCCTAGGGGTCAAGACCTGAGCTGAAGGCAGAGGCATAACCGCTAAACCGACTGTGCCATCCAGGCATCCCAAGCACCACATTTTAATGTGTCTTGAAGACTGACCATCATACACACTCAACTAGAAGACAGTAAGCTCCCCGAGGGCAGGAAACATGTCTCCAGACCTCACCCCACCCAAAGAGGCTCCACACAGAGTCACTGCAGAGCAAACTCCTAGTGGTTGTCTGAGTCACCCAGATAATGTCATACCCAGGCTACCTACCAATCTATCATGTGACATGATACAGAGTAATCAAAATCAGGGGAGCAGAAGATGAGTTAATTCTGAATACAAACTCAGATGTGGAAACATCTGGTCTCTTCCCTGAAATGATTAATTTGTGTTTCAGAGGTTACAGATGCTAAATGAAAATACCCATTTCATTAGTAGCCTAATATTGTTGTCAATTATAATTGCTGCAGAAAGAATGCATTTTTATTGATTGTACAGTTTCAAAGACCTCATATCTCTTGGAGTCTTGGAGTGTAAAATTGGATTCACAGGGGCTGCGAGGAGAAAAGATGGAAACCTAGAACAGGTGTGGAGGGGTGTGATGGGTAGCAAAGGCTGTGGCAAATGCTACCTGCAGGGCTCAGATGCCAAGTCCTAGGGAAAAAGTACCTTTCAATGGCCAGAGCTTTCCCTTGGAGGCGGACAAGTCAGCAAATCATATGTTGTTTCTCACAACTCTACTCCAATAAAATATTTTTCATCCACGTGGGAGGAGGACATCAAAAAACAGTTTTGAAGACAAAGAGAAATCACAAAAGGGCAAGACTCAGCGGAGAGGGAGGAGGAAAGAAGCACAGTGGTTGGTATACTAGGCCCCTGACATTCAGACTTGGCTTTATGAATTACTGCTGAAACAGAAAGAACAAAGCTCTGATCTAATTCTGATACAGGCACAAGAAGAAGGTACCCTTCTTCCTAAGTGCTGGAGTGTCCCAGGTGTGTGAATGCAGTGCCAAAGTGTCACCATGAAAAGTCAAGCAACTGCCAGCACACTGGTCAGGCTCCTAGAACATAGTGCTCATGCAGGTTAATCAGTGAGGACAAGGTGAAGTTTCAAAGGAGAAGACTTTTTCAGGAGTAAAGTCCCACCAGGGAAGGTAGCCAAGGAAACGAATTTAAAAAGTGATGGGGGAGGAAAAGCCATCCTGCCAAACTCTCCAGGTTCAAGTTCACTTGTTTCACACAGATGGCTCAGAAGAAGAGTAGAAAGAGCCCTGGACTTGGATACAACAGAATTTAGTATACATCCTGGTCCTAGACACTTATTAGTTTCTTACAAATTCTATTGATATTAAATGCCCTGAATAGGCAAATCCATAAGGTAGAAAGTAGACTTTCTAGGTTAGAAAGGTTACTAGGCCTGGGGCGGAGGGGGGGGGCGGGGGAGAAGGGAAGAATGTAGAGTAACTGCTAACAGGTATAGGCTTGCTTTCTGGAGTGATGAAAATGTCCTAGAATTAGTGGTGGCAGCTGCAAAACCTTGTGAATACACTAAAAACTGCTGCATTATACATTTGAAAGTGGTCAGTTTTATGATATGTAAATTATATCTCAATAACACTGTTAAAAGATCAGAATTAGAAATCTTCCCCATATACGGAAGCCAGCAGCAAACTCACAATGCTGTGCAGACTAACCAGGTAAAGGACTGATCTTAGAAAGGCCACAAGTCTGGGCCTGCTTGAGGATGCTAGCTCTAGAAACTTGGCTTTCACTTCATTCAGTCTCCCAGGACTTACTGAGGAAAGTACTGAAGCTGGTTAGCACCTGTTATTCACATCTGGCCAAAGGCAGGCATGTAGCCAGAGCCCTCAAAACAGGCAGGGTAGTGGCCAGGACAGAATAAATCCCTCAGAAGAAAGACAGAGGTAGTTTTTGAATCTCTGCTCCACATGCACAGCTCTGCATGCCCATGAGGAACTCTGGGAACCTGGAAGTCACACTCAGTCTGGGGGCATGTGCCATTATCTCCTGCTTGCTATAATAATTTGAGAATCTGTTTTGCAATATCCGCTAACAGACTCCACTGCTGTCTTTCCCACCAACCACACCACATCCCATTTTAGACAACCATGCATTTAGACTGCTTGTAATTGATTTCAACAGTTATTTGAGCAACTAGTACATGTCAGATCTGTGTTAGGGGCTAACAAGATAGCAGAGATTAAGAGAGCCTGTGTCCTGCCCAGATGATTTTGCATAGGAGTCTCATTTCCTTAACTATTTTTTATCTTTTATTTTATTTTATTTTATTTACTTATTTATTTATTTTTTAAGATTTTATTTATTTATTCATAAGAGATACACACACAGAGAGAGAGGCAGAGACACAGGCAGAGGGAGAAGCAGGCTCCATGCAGGGAGCCTGATATGGGACTCGATCCCGGGACTCCAGGCTCATGCCCTGGGCCAAAGGCAGGCGCTAAACTGCTGAGCCACCCAGGGATCCCCCTTAACTATTTTTTAAAGTTTTTTTGAGGGCAACGGTTATGCCTTCTATTTCTCTAAGTCCAACTTGAGGCTTAGAAAAGAAAATATTTCTTCTGACTGCAAAGATAAATGTTCCTAAAGGGAAAGAAGCCCATAGAAAGGAAAACTTTTGTTTTAATGGGTCAGTTTCACATTTATGCAGAGATTTTTCACTGAAATCTATTCTTCCCTTCTTAAGCAGAAATAGAGTACATATATGCTGCTTGTAGTGGGGCACCATGCTTCCCAGTCTTCCTTGCAACACAGGTGAGGGCCCACGCTCTCCCCAATGGAACCTAAGTGACACATGTCTCTGCTTCGCAAGGTAAAAAGTGACAATTCAGGTTGCTGGTGGGTTTTTTTTACTTGTTTTTTCTCTTTCTTTCAAGATTTTATTTAAATTCAAATTAGTTAACATATAGTACAGTATTAGTTTTAGGGTAGAATTTAGTGATTAGTCACTTGCACATAACACCCAGTGTTCATCACATTAAGTGCCCTCCTTATTGCCTACCACCCAGTTACTCCATTCCCCCATACACCTCCCCTCCAGCAACCCTCAGTTTGTCTCCTCTAAGTAGGAGTCTTCTCGTGGTTTGTCTCCCTCTCTGTTATTTTATTTTTCCTTCCCTCCCCCTATGTTCATCTGTTTTGTTTAAATACCACATGATTTCACTCATATGCAGAATTTAGGATACTTTTTTTTTTTAAGTAGGCTCTATGCTCAACATGGGGCTTGAACTCCCACCCCTCAGTTCAAGAGTCACATTCTCCACTGACTGAGTCAGCCAGGTGCCCCCCGACGATTCAGTTCAGTTTTAAGCAGCACACACAGACAAGCCCTCCAGAATGATGGAAACATAGAGGGAAGAACACTGAGTCCCAATCCTAGACTATTAAATGGGCAAGAAATAAATCTCCTCTGTACTTGGATCATTACATTTTGGGGTCTGGTTTGGCAGTACACCCTACCCTAAGACAGCTCTCTCCAGTGCAAGATGGTTGATGACTGATGAAATACTACTTGACTGCTAATTCACCTAATGTGATGTGGAGAACAGGACCTTATAGTGCTAACTGCTGGCAGACACCCATTAGGCTTCCAGGGACTCAGAGGATAAGGGATTTACCTGATGCTATGAAAAGCTGAGATACTCTTGGCATCTATAAATGAGTATTAGGACCCTTAGCTCTTCAGCTGTATCTTATTCCTCTCTGCACGCCCAGTGCCTAGCACATCCTATTGTCAAAACACAGAGGAAGCAATCAATAAGTATTTCTGAAATAACTACTACACCTTCACTTTTATTACAGCACAGAACATACTACAATGCAAATACTTATCTTCTACCCCTATCCAGAGCTCTGTGTTTCCTAAGTCTTTGCATTCCTACCACCTACACATCCTGCACATAAGAGGCATTCAACATCTGATGAACAGATTTATAAACAATTTCCCTACAAACCCATGCAGATGTACAGCAATAAAACAAAGAAAGAATAATAATGAAAATAATTTGGATATGAAGAACTCCTTTCTTCTGTGGAGCTCCAAGCACTTACATTAAACTCCCTAGCTCTCTTAGCCTTTTTGGGCTACTATAACAAAACATCACAGACCAGGTGGCTTATGAATGACAGAAATTTATTTCTCATAGTTCTAGAGGCTGGAAATCCAAGATCAAGGTGCCAGCATGGTCAGGTTCTGGTGAAGGCCCTCTTCCAGTCACAGACTACACACTTTTCTCACTATGTCCTCAAGTGGTAGATGATGTGTATCCATCTCTGGGGGTCTGTTAAGGCACTGGTCAGACTTATAAGGCCTCTGTCTCATTATCTAACTCCCTCCCAAAGGCCCCACCTCCTGATACCATCACTGTGGGCACAGGGTTTTCAACATATGAATTTTGGCAGGGACACAAACACTCAGACCAAAAGCACCAATCATCCTAAGACAGATTCAGAAAATCACAGACTTATAAAACCAGAAGGAATGTCAGAAGCCAAGTGCCAGAGATGAGGAAACTGAAGATGAGGAAACTAAAAGCACTTACTCTAGGTAACAGAGTTAACCCGCTACAGATATCAGGTCGGCCAGCTCCAGCTCCACCACTAGGGCATGCTTCATTCCTGCCCATCTCCCCAACAACCCAGCACACACCCTTGTACGCTGCGGGTATTTAATAGCACAATGAAAAGATGGGACTAGTCAAATCGAGCCATTCATGTGAAAGTCATAGCTGCCCAATCAAATTTTCTTACCTTCATCAACTAAAATTTCTGGATTGTTCAAGTTTAAGATGTTTGAATTTTGTAATAAGATCAAAACCTAACTTCTGTGAATTGCTTTTTCCTATAATTAATTGTTCCAAAGAATAAAATTATTAAAATCTATTAAAAGATATAACCCTTCAGTCTAGTTCCAAAATAAAGATGAGAACAAGTCTAACTGGCAATTAATGTTAGATTCTCCAGATCACACTAAAACTACACTGTTGATATGCCCCCTTGAACATCTTCAGATAATTTAATGATTGTACACTGTGGGTTATTTTCCTTATTATCTTATAATTGCTTCAAAGGTAAATTAATCTCTACCAAAACAAGAGAGAGATTATCAGGATTGGATTTGTTTTGACAAGCAATCACAAGGAATTTATTACAGAGCAAGAAAGGTCTGAAGAGAACAAGAAACACCAACACATACCTTTTAAAGATATAAAGACTAATATATTTTTTAACAGGACCATGTTTTATTTTTCCTAAGCCATTTTTCCTCTCAAAGTGTGGCATATTATTTATTTCAGCATATCAAATCCCTGATTTACGTGGGATTTGATAGGGGAAAGGACTAGTATCAGCTTGGATTTATGTTATACAGTTAAATTTTGCAATTTGAGATAGAGGAATCAAATGTGTTGACTTTTTGAGAGATTTTAAAAATATATTCTATGCCTAAAATCAACATCACAAGAAACAACACGTGTTGGCAAGGATATGGGAAAAAAAGGAATCCTCATGCACTGCTGGTAAGAATGCAAACTGGTACAGCCACTGTGGAAAACACTATGGAGCCTCTTCAAAAAATTAAAGATATAGTACTGTATGATCCAGTAACTGCAATACTGGGTATTTACCCAAAAAAGACAATAACACTAATTCAAAGGGATGTATGCACCCCTATGCTTACAGCAGAATTATTTACAACTGTCAAATTATGGAAGCAGCCCAAATGTCCACCAATTGATGAATGGATAAAGAGGATGCGGTAGATACATACAATGGAATGTTATTCAGCCCGAAAAAAGAATGAAATCTTGCCATTTGCAACAACATGGATGGAACCAGAGAGTGAAATAACTCAAATACATATGATATCACTTACTTAAGAAATTAAGAAACAAATGAGCAAAGGGGATGAGAGAGAGAAATCAAGAAACAGACTCTTAATTATAGAGAACAAATGGATGGATGGCAAAGGGGAAGAGGATGAAGAGATGGGTTAAATGGGTGATGGGGATTAGGGAGGACGATGTCATGATAAGCACCGGGTAAGGTGTGTAACTGTTCAATTCCTATGTTATACACCTGAAACTAATATAATTGTATTAACTAACTGAAATTAAAATAAAAACTAAAAAAAGCCAAAAACAAATAAATAAAATAAAAATAAAAAATATATTCTAGGGATACTTTACTTGCAATACCCTAACCTTTGACTATTGCTACTTTCAAAAGCCAGGTAGTCCTTACAAAGACCGCTTGGCTTTTCTCATAGCCTACATCTTGACACTGCTAATGTGGAGAAAGCAAAAAACACTGACCACCCTGAAGCCTTCAATTCTTCAACCATTAATTGTTGTATAGCCCCTCAATATGGTTTCAGCTCCACCCTCCCGTGTGGAATTCAGTTTGGAACTACAAACAGCCTAATCAACAAATCCAATGGCCCTTGCACTGAACACTGACCTTTCTGCTTCTCACATGTTGATCAACTCTTTCCTTCCTGAAAGCATCCATCTTTGGTTTCTGTAACACTTTTCTGGTTCTTCTTCCTCTCCGACAATTCTCATCTCCTTTGAGAGTTCTGTATCTTCCTTCTTGCACTCCCTCATCAGATTCATTCACTGTTCTGGCCCTTTGTTCTTCTTATATGATAGCCTCATGATCTCCTCTACATGGATGACCCTTCCTCCTTGACTCCAGTGCCTCTTGGACATTTCTGCCAGATGATGCCATCTCAAACTCAATATGTTTTAAACCAAGTGTACATCCTCCTAAAAATCAAATCCCCCTCCTGGTCTATTTCTGTGGAAGATAACAAAATGCCCCTAGCTACTCAGACTACAACCTGGGAAATAGATTTCACTTTTCTCTCATCTCTGCTTCCTAAATTTAGCCACCTATGACCTTGGGCAAGCCATTTTACCTTCTGACCCATGGTTTCTTTGTCTGGAAAAAAAGAAAAGTCACATCTGGCAGGTCTGAAAGGATTACATATGTGCAAACATCCACATAATCAGGTCAATAAATATCTCTCTTCTCTCCAGCACTCCCTATGGCCCCCAATAAGAAAAAAAACTAAACTTTTTGGGGGTATATGTCATATTTCTTTGTATAATACCTTACACAGTGGCTTGTATACAGAAGTAGCCTAATAAATGTTCACTGATGCCCATGGATAAGCAACTGAAGGAGTAAGTCAAGAAGTACCAATAAGGAATCACAAAATATTAACTAAAATCAAAAGCAGAAAGGATATTATCTAAGTCTCAATCAATCTAGATACTTGGCACCTAATAAGCTCTGATAATTATCTGCTGAAAAAATAATCCAGTAGTCCTAAGCATCTAGCACATGTCTCTGTGCAGTGGGGGCTACAAGAGAACTGAGGAGATGGCCCTGCTTCTGGTGGCTCCCCCAGTTCTCCCTGCAGCCCACCTAGGTGCAAGGTTAAGGATGCTTATTCCTCACAAAAAACAAACATTTTAGATTTTAAGCAGAAAAATACTCACATGTCAAAAGCACTGAACTCCAACGTTAAGCGAGCTGGCAGCCCAGCAGAATCACCTGGACAGAAGCATTATCACATTTTCCATTATGAGTCAGCAATAGCATTCATAACTAAAACATCTGTGAATAATTTTGTTCTCTTTCTTGAGCACTAAGTGCCCTGTCCAAATTCCTGGTCATCCATATTCAATAGGGACTTAGTGGAAGATGCCAGAGCTTTTCTGAATTTGAGGAATTTATTAAGAATATAAAAAAAAAATTCATCAGGGGATCCCTGGGTGGCTCAGCGGTTTAGCGCCTGCCTTCAGCCCAGGATGTAATCCTGGAGTCCTGGGATCGAGTCCCACATCCGGCTCCCTGCATGGAGCCTGCTTCTCCTTCTCTTTCTGCCTCTCTCTCTGTCTCTCATGAATGAATGAATGAATGAATGAATGAATAAATAAATATCTTTAAAAAAACTTAATCAGGAAAAAAAAGAGTTTCCAATCTCCTCCCTTAGCAATTCTAAGCAATAGGTATTGATTTTTTAGATTAATAACTGGAGTCTCACTACTCACTTTCTTTTCCCCACAACAGAGGAAAAGTGAAAATGAACTTGTGTTAAAAGTCAGGAAGTAAAATGGGGATAAAAGGTATAGCCTCAAGAATATAACCAATGTTATTGTAGTAGCACTGTATGGTGACAGATTGTGGTAGCTACACTTGTGGTGAGCACAGCATAATGTATAAACGTGTCAAATCACTATGTTGTAAATCTGAAATTAACATAGCACTGTGTGTGAACTACACTCAAATAAAAATTAATTAATTAATTAATTAATTAATTAATTAAAGACAGACAGTTGGGAAGTAAAATAGAAACCAGTGAAGGGTATTAATTATAAAAGACAAGGGTGTCCCTTTTCTGAAGGAAAGCTGACCCTATACTGGAGGGCAGAGAACATAACAAAAGACGATGGAGTTTACTGTTGCCTACCATTGTAGTAATAGCCCTTAATATCCTTCGGAGCTTCATCTAGCCGATACTCATTCAGCTTCCTCTGGGTCAACTCATGCCAGAATCCCACATCCAAGGCACTGCTAAAGGGAGCAAACAGCAATTTGGAGAGCCCGGGATCCCCCAGAGCTGCTGCCATCATTTGGTGCCTCCTAAAAAAACAAAACAGAACACAGCGAAACAGCGCAAAATATGAGGAAAAAAAACATGTGTAATAAGGCATAATCAAAACAAAAAGTGATGGGAAGTACACAGGCTACCTGAAGACATAACTGAAAACCATCCTGAGTAATCTGCCTATGTTGCCAAGTTTCACCTCCTGATGACACAACTGATTGTCTAAGTAAAGTAAAGCTCTTTCTCTGAGGCCTTTCTGGCCTTTACCTCTGTATCTTCCCTTTTCATTCAAGTCAGTCTGATGCTGCACAAGTGCTACTCCTTCCCTGACATAATCCCTGTCTCATAAATATCTGCCCTCCTGTATGGTCCTGGAGAACTTCACAAGTGCAAAACCCAAGCCCAATTGGCCAGAAACACAACAGAGCCAACTGTCAGACCTCTGAGTGACAGCAGCACTTGAGCACCTCCCGCTGAGGAGAATGAAGAAATTTTTGCCCATCTAACCTGCATTTTTTTATATCACATATTTTACCTTTTAAATGCATGGAAAATGTGCATTTTCTTTACTATACAGATTTTAGTATTTCATTCCCCATCCCCCGACATCATCAAATAAATATGACCCTACAGGCAATCATGCATGTGTGCACTATAACTCCCCTGTCTCTGCACACTCTCAGGGGGATACCACCCCCAGCTAGAGAAGTACAATACTAGAGGAACTCAGTATATCCAAAAAGCAAAAGTGGGAGAGGTCTCTTCACTTTCCACCCTAATTTCCCTATGGCCAGATATAATAGTATTTCTTCAGCAGAATGGATGAAGAGTCATGCTAGATGACAACAGTTCACATCTTTTACTGTCTGAATTTTGAGCCAAGATTATTACATAGCTTTCAGTTTTCCAAACTTGTTTGACTTTGAAATTAAGAGGTAATGAGCTTTCGACTGATAATAACTAGATGGTAAAATGCAAAGTTATCACTACATGAAAGTGCTAAAAATACAGAAAGAGATGAGTATGGGGTAGAACTGGGAGGAAGTCTCAGGGAAGAAGCTCTTTAAAACTCCCACTGCCTCAGTATCCACTCTCAAATCATGCTTCAGACATCTGACCAAAGGTTTTCAAACTTTTCCCAGTGTGAGGGCTTATTAAAGACTGAGGATGCCTGGGGTCCACCTGCTGGAGGGAAAAAGGGAGGGTGAAGGTGAGGAGTCTCCAGGTTGGACTGGCAGGTCTGATTCAAGTCTGATACTATCTTGATGGTTTTAGGCCACTGCCACTCTTAGTTTTGGAGGCCCCACCTCCAAATCATTTCAAACATATTTAAATGTACCCCCGTCCCATGTTAAATAATTTCTGGCTTTTAGTTATTTGAAAAGCTTTTTATAATTCTGTACTCTTCGAATGTTCATCTTTTCCCAGGTCACACCTATTTCCACAGGCCCAGGGAAAGCTCATAGATCCCATGCACCAGGGCTTCAATGCCCAACAGAGAAAACAGACCCTCATATAGGTGACCTGGGGCCTTCGTGTTGAGAAACATGGGGTTAGAACACCCAACAGCCTCCTCCAATCACTCCCCTCTATTCTTCCTCCACAATGCTTTCCACTATTGGTTTCTGAAAGATTCCATGGTCAGACCTCTCCTTGGTCTGTAAGCTTCTCAAAAGCAAACTTACTCATTTTCTACATCAATTTCTTTTTTTTAAGGTTTTGTTTATTTGTGTGTGAGAGAGCGAGCCAAGGAAGAAGGAAAGGGAGATGCAGACTCCCACCTGAGCAGAGAGCCCAATGTGGGGCTCGATCCCAGGACTCTAAGATCATGACCTGACCAAAGGCAGATGCTTACCCAACCGAACCACCCAGGCACCTCTCTACATCAATTTCTATCTATATGCCAGATACAACTGACCAACATATATAGTTGACCCTTGAACAACACAGGTTTGAACTGCATGAGTGCACTTGTACATGGAGTTTTTTCAATACGGTACAGTACTATAAATGTATTTTCCTTATGACTTTCTTAATAATATTTTCCTTTCCCTAGCTTACTTTATTGTAAGAATACAGTATATAACACATATAACCTAGAAGCTATGTGTTGTCTGTTCATGTTATCAGTAAGGCTTCTGGTCAATAACAGGCTACTAGTAGTTAAGTTCTAGGGAGTCAAAAGTTATACCTCTATCCTCCATGTTGTTCAAGGGTTACCTGTATAAGTATGTTTTAAAGCCAGGACTTGGATTTCTCAGAGACATCTCAAGTTTGACAAACTCCAATCTGAACATTTCTTTTCCCTAAATTCTATCCCTTTTCCTTTTTTTTTTTTTTTAAAGAATCCATGGTTAAGTGGACCCTACATGTTTCTTTTTCTTTTAAAATGATTTTATTTATTTATTCATGATAGACACAGAGAGAGAAGCAGAGACACAGGCAGAGGGAGGAGCAGGCTCCACGCAGGGAGCCCGATGTGGGACTCGATCCTAGGACTCCAGGATCACGCCCTGGGTGGAAGGCAGGCGCTTAAACTGCTGAGCCACCCAGGCTGCCCTCTATCCCTTTTCCAATTTGTCCTAGTTTACTTAATAGTATCACCTACATCTGAGGTCAAAACCTCAGTCATCTTCACTTCTTCTCTTACGTTCAGGAGGTCAGCAACTGCTAGAGGCTCACCCTTAAATGGGCCTCTAGAATGGGAGGAAGGGAACAGCTACTGAGCACTGCCCAGGACTGGGCACTGCTGCAGGAGTGTGCACCTAAATGTATTCCACCGGAAAGCCCTAAGAAGTGACCGTTCCAATTTTACAGGGGAAGAAATTGAGGTTCAGAGAAGTAGGAAGTCCACAGAAGGACATACAGGTTGGAAAGCAGGGTGAACTGGGGAGGACAATGATCCAATTCCATACGTCCACACTCTTCATACAATTTCATGCTTCCTGTTCAATCGGCTTCCCTCCTCTCCATCCCTGCTGCCACATGTCAGGCCCACCATCTCACACCTCAGCTCCTGCAGTAACATGCTCAGAGGTCACTGCCTTCTGTCCCTGTACTCTCCAAACAAGATGTCACACTGCCACCAGGACTGATCTGCTCACGGGGGCTCCCTTCTTTAAACAAACAAAAGCTTACCACCTAACTCCACAGAGAGTAAGGTGTCCACACTGTCTCAGTCTGCTTGTTTTCCAGCCCTACACCTTTCCCTAAGAAACCTCTCCCCATCTCTACCAGGAAAATTCCTTCTCATCTAATTAAGATTATTTATAAAGCTCTCACTAATGCCCACTGTCAGTGGGCATCCATGGTTCCCTTCCCCATGATGACATGAAAATTTCCATTAGAGGGATACCTGACTGGCTTAGCGGTTGGGCGTCTGCCTTCGGCTCAGGGCATGATCTCGGGGTTTGGGATCGAGTCCCACATCGGGGTCCTTGTGAGGAGCCTACTTCTCCCTCTGCCTGTCTCTGCCCCCCCATCCCGTCTCTCATGAATAAATATTTTTTAAAAAATAAAAAGAAAATTTCCATTAGAGCATTTACCATCATGAATCATACTTGCTTTTTTGATCATACTCTTTTTATAACTTTTTAAATAATAGCAGTACTAGTAGTAACTATTCTAAGTGAATCTTTATTCGGTGCCAAGCACTAAACATTTTACACATTATCTTATGATAACCCCGAAGTGGTTGCATTGTGCCTACTTTACAGAAGAGAAATGGAGGCACTGAAATATCAAGTAACATGCCCAGAGTCACTCAGAAAGGAGAAGAGCTAAGATTATAACCCAGGTCAACCAGCTTCAAAGCCCCAACTGTCATTACTACGCTGTACTGCCTTGAAGGAAGACACCCCTTTTCAGAGCCTTTATATTGCCCACCAGCCACATATATACTAAAAGATAACCATTTGAAAAACATTTACATACTAACTTCCTCTCCAACAGTCAAAAGAAAAACGCTGCAGTCAGAGTAATCATCCAACATGGAAGGAAATCAACACAGAAGCATACAGTGGTACAAATGGATCTTTGAAAGCCTCTGTGTGATGGGTCATCAGGCCCCTACATGCTTTAGTCATCCCCAACTTACTCTTAAAGGTCAACAGTAACTCATCATCATTTGGATGACCTGCTAAGGTCATCCCCATGGAATTTTACCAGTGCGAGACAAAAGAGAAAACTCTCATCTATACTGCACTTCAACAGCTGGGAAAAAGTAAATCAGGAAGATCACTTAGGAGATAACAGATGGGGGATGCCTGAGTGGTGCAGTGGTTGAGCGTCTGCCTTCGGCTCAGGGCATGATCCTGGAGTCCTAGGATCGAGTCCCATGTCAGGTTTCCCACATGGAGCCTGCTCCTCCCTCTGCCTATGTCTCTGCCTCTCTCTCTCTGTCTCTCAAGAATAAATAAATAAAATATTTTTTTTTTAAAAAAAGGAGATAACAGATGGGCATACTAACAAAGTAATCTGCATAAGAGGCACATCCCTCAAACGTTTTCTGACTTATTTGATCTTTGAGAAATTTCAAACAGAACCCAAGAGTCTATTTCACAAGAGGATATGGTTGGTATTCAGCCATTGAACTGCTGCTTGACAGGCTAAGAAAACAGAAAGGTCCTAAGCAGCAGCAACATGTGATGAGGACACAGCTGGAAATATCTAAATACCATACTCAAGTATAAATGTATCACTTAGGAACCCATATATCTGTGTCATACTGCTATCTTCCTTAAGCTGGAAGGAAAAATTTAAGAAGTAATGATCAAAATGGAATCCTGGAGGGAGCAGTGAGTTAATAGGTGCAAAGTAATTTATGTGTCACTAACCTATATCCAAACATCATGTGCTTCCTAAAAAATTACATGCCTATAACAACCCAAGACAGCACAAGGTGAGAATTCTGGCCTCTGCTTACTTAACTTAGAACATTAAAGATTACTTCTATCATATTTCAAAACCACATACTGACATATTCAAGGAAGGAAACTGACAGGGGCATCAATATAAATGTGGTTCAACTTTTTTT